ACTTACTACAGTACCTTTAACATATTTTTATGGGCTCCAAGCTCTATTTGCAAAAAAGGAACGCTTATGGTGATTCCCAGTCAAGGCGGAAGTCATTATAATGAATATCGATTTTCGTTTTCGGGTCTGAGTATTAACTATTAATTGTTTGTTTTGTGTGTGTTTTGGAGACCCAATTAGACACAAGTTCATGCCTGCTTACCTCTACGTTTTTTTTTGTAACAATAATAGTTACACCTACTAACTGATTTATGCCCAAGATTTGTTTTTATTTTCTGATCGAATGCCTGAATGATTCTGAATGAATTTTGAAATTTTTTTCAAGCAACATAGTTCATTTTTTCGTTACCGTTTAGCGTGTAAGGTACAAAGTTAAAATGTGGTCGAACAAACATAAAGTATTCCTACATTATCACATCTACATTAGGTAGGTACCTAGTATATGTAAGTATATAATATTCGTCCACAAGTGTTGTTAATTTATTCAATTGATTGACGGTATTAATTAACAAACAAAAAATTTAACATTTTCATTTAACTCATAGTTGACCTTTGTGACAATCCTAGATCATGAAAGTTGACCTTTATCTAAATTCTGTCATAACTTCTTAAAACCGCAAAAGTGAAACCTGATTTTTTTATGGGTGATAGAACTTGGCTTATAGAACCTTTCTGTACTAAATCCAGGTTCCACTTTTGCCGATATTTGGAGAAAAAAATTAAAAATCGAAATTAAAAAAAAATATTTCTCTGAAACTAGGACACTTATAAATAAAATAAAATTGCAAAATTATGCCTTCAATAATTCCTTATCTAGTGGCAAATATCTCATGGGGTCATCCATAAATTACGTCACACGAATTTCATGTCTTTTTTGCCCCTCCCCCCGTCCTTGTCACAGCTGGTCACATTTGTAAGACTCCCCCCCTCCCTAGTGTGACGTCACATATTTTGCAAATTTACATTTAGAAATCATTGAATGAAAACAGCGGTTCTGTAATCAGTTTTATTTCCATTTAAATTGTTTTTTCATTATTATTATAATCAAATCAAACAATTAACAAAACAAAAAAAAACGATTAATTATATTTATTAAAGAAATTACCGAACAAAAAGTGATTGACTATGTTAATTAAAGAAATTAACAAAATATAAAATATTAATAGCATTATAATTAAATTAAAGATACAAACTCCTTTAAATTGATCCCACTCCTTTAAATTATTTATAACTGGCATAGCACCACTTTGTTCTCGTTTGGGTTGTTAATGCTTTCGTAAAGTAATAGTTTCAACATTTAGATTTTAATTATAAGTGTTGACATGGCAAAAATAAGGTTGACTCTATAATCTAGCGAATTTTTGTATTCTTAACAAAAATGATATTTATTACTTGTACATTATGGAAATAAAGAGGCTTGTATTTATACATTTAAGAATAATTAAAACAAAAAATATACTATAACAATGAACCTAAAACTAAAAACCTTAAAAAAATAAAATATAATAACTAAAATACATTATTAAAAGGAGTCCCTTTAGGCAAGGTTCCGAAGATACTGGCAGCGTTCCCCCTTTGGATAGCTAGACTAATTCTTTGTCCAAGGTAGCTGCCAGCTCTTCGGTCTCCTGTGATGTCGACTAATCTTTTCGCTATTTCTTTAAAAAGCCTTATAGCGCTAGGACCCCACGGACCAAGGGTCTCGACACCGAATGGGACAAAATCATATTCGGAGCCTAGACCCCTGTATTTGCCTGCCTTAGCTTTTTCAGCCGCTTCACAAGCCGCACCAGCTCTGTTGTTGTTTCCATGTAGATGGGAAGGGGCCAGCGTGTCTGAACAGGTTGCATCCCATACTAGCACCCGACCCATCTTCCATGGAATCAAACTCATACCGTCCGGTCTCTTGCCATCGTCTCTTGCAATACCAGTTGGCTCAAGTAGACTTGGCACGTTGACGGTGGCAAGGGACCGGCGTATGATATCGTTAAGTGCGGCGTGTCTCGAGAAGCGGCCTGCACTTTTTTGGCAAGACAGTCCATGATGTCCTAGCTTGTCGACATCACTGCCACAGGGACATTTATGAGGAGCGCAGACCGGGACCCCAAGCCGTAGACAGGTTGCCATTCGGATTGTGTCAGGCTCAAGAAATGTGCCCGTATTTGTCGAAGGGTACGCGTGAAGCCAGTAACCAGCCTCATGCGTACCCACGGCCAAAAGCCTAGCACGCGCCGAACCTGTACTGCAGCTCAAAAGGTTATTATAGGTTAATTTACAATTTATGTCGTCCCAGCTCCTCTGTGAATTTGGAGAAACTGGAAAATTTTGACCTGGGCATGCAATTAAGAAAGCGTTTCTAGCTTCTTCCAAGCCAGCAATCTCAAAGTTTGAAGGGGGTGCCCTTAAAATTTTACTTATGAGATTTGCTGAACTATGGACAGAAGATAGGAAGGCTGGTAAAGCGACACTGGAAATTTTGCGAATCCCTAAACCACCATAACGGATGGGTAGGGATGCTTGGGTCCAAGATTGCTCGTTCAGCTGCATATTAAGAATCGATTCTAATTTAATTTTGATTAAGTCGTCTAATTGTGACAAAAGATCTAAGTGATTCCAAAAGGAGCAGCAACGGAGCACATACGTAAATTTTGGGACAAAAAGACAGAATTTTAAGATGCAAAGTGCATAATGTGGACTAATTTCAAGGAGACGGTCGGCAGAATTTTGAAATTTATTAATTGAATTATTAATATATTCAGAAATAGATTCATCAAAAATTGGAGAACCTAAAAGGTAAAGGGAATTATTGTTAACTATTTTAATATTTGGAGCTAAAATATTAAATTTTTGTTTAACGTCATTTAAATTTAAGTCGTTGTTATTTATAAAAAGTTCGCATTTGCTAAAATTAAGCTCCAAACCGATGGCTTCAAATTTATTTTTGATTGAAAAAAGGTCCGAAAAAACAGTATCCACATCACCTCCTAGGGTTCCGTCGTCCAAATACCAAACATTGAATTTAGAATTTAAATTTTTGATTATCGGATTTATAGCCAAACTAAAAATTGCAGGCCCAAGGGGATCACCCTGTTGACAACCTACTTCCGAGGACAGTTCATTAGAACGATATAACAATTTTGTTGGGTCGGCGTAACTGAGAAGAAGATAATTGTATATTTCCGGTATATGTTGTTTTATTTCTGTCAGCAGGGTATCCCTATTTACCGAATTGAATGCATTTTTTTTTTTTTTTTTGAGCAACACGTCAGGCTGCCCGTAAGTTAGGAAGGAGCGTAGGGCATGGACGGCTGCCTCACACCCTCCTTTGACACCGAAGCCTAACTGTACGGGTTCAAATTCCGAATTTAGTTTTGGTAAAATATGTCGAACAGCAATTTTGGAGGCCAGACGTCGTAGTGTTGATCCAACAGCAATTGGTCTCACCCCTCCGTCCTTTTTGGTCAGGGCAATGAGGTTCGCGCCGAAAAGAATAGGAACAATTTCTGGATTGACACTACCGGAATACATAAAGTTGATTAATTTAGTGATCGAATTTACAAGTTGCTCGCCTGCATTACCCACAGAATGCGAAGTTAAATCTTTCAAATGTTGGGGTGAGATTCCATCCAAACCTGCAGCCGAACCTGGTTTAAAAGATAAAATGGCATCCATAACATCTTTGTATTGAATTTGAAGGCATGCTTGCCCTGCTGTTGGTGGGTCGAGAAAATATGGGTTTGCTGGAGCTGGGGGATGTTTTGTCCGTAAGGCCTGAAGGGTGTCAGGGGTATCTGGTGATAGCACGTCATTGGAGAACAAAAGGCGAACGGCACCTTTGAGATCTCCGTCACAGATTTTGTTTTCAACGAGTTTTTTGCGATTATGAGGGGCATCATGTTTGATTAGAGGTGCGGGAGAAGGCGAGGAGCTTACAGCACAGTTATTCTTAATCTTTTGTGTCAAGGATAAATTCGGTTCATCAGTTTTTAAGATATGAAGAGTGCTGTATGAAAATAAAAATAGGTTCTGCCAGTCTTGAGTTAAATTGCTTATATAACATTTCTGGATTAATTGTGACAAATATGTAGCAACGGTTATTCGAGCTCCTCGCGGGATTCTTTTAACTATTGGTATACTATTTTTCAAATGGCTGAGATATGTGTGGAAATGAGTTGGATCGTTGGCAGGCGCACTCGGAATAATGGGATGTATGTCTAAATGTGAATTGTTTTGACTAATACATTGCCTGTGTGTTTTTGAAGTGTGTATTTTGAAGCCTTTCAAAGATTTAAAAGACTTGTGGCACTGTGTACATGTGTAGGTCGCGTTCGACGTGCCATCACAAGATTGGGTCACGGACTGCATTCACAATAGTAAAATACATTCAAAAATAAATAATAACTTAAAACAGGTTTAAAAACACAAAAAGTAACTTAAAATGTACACTAATGAAACTTAAAATGTAAACATAAAAAGTCAGTCTATATGACAGCTGCTTCCAAGACGCATGCGTCGTTACCTAGGTCCGTCAAGGTTGCTAGGCCGCCGGAGCAAATCAAGACTCCTATTGGCTGAGTAGTAGCGGATTTTAATATATTTTGAAATGTGACGTCACGAAATTTAGGACCCCTCCCGCCCTTGTCACACGATGTCACATTTCGTCGACCCCCTCCCTACCCCTTAAAGTGTGACGTAATTTATGGATGGCCCCCATGTACAGATATGGAACCGTCTTTTGAGGAAATTAAATTGTTAATTTTTTAATGCTCAAATTTCAAAAACTTTGCTACTTCATATCTTTTTTTTTACTGGAAATAGTGATCTGAGAATTGAACTCTTGCCTTTATTAGGGTATAAATAATTGATTTATGCAAAAATCTTAAGGTGTAAATTTTTTTGGTTCCATAAAACACTGTGTGGCGGTACGAAGTACGCCATAGATTTAGATAGTCGTGTATTTTAAGTTTGCCTTTCTGAGCTTAAAATTAACATATACTCACTGTATACAGGAAACCAGCCGCTTAATTCGCACACTGCTACATTAAACGCTTCCAATTGTTTTGCACCTGCACTGGACTTCCTGGGCCACACCAGTATTCGAACAATTTCTTCGGTGCCTCCGTTCAATTTTCGACCTTTTGTCATAAATATATTATGTGCTATGTCGTTTGTCAAGAAATATTGCAGTAATTTGTTCACATCTCCTGCTATATTAAGCGTGCAGTCTTCTTGTCGCACTTGAAAGCAAAACGACGGGACAGGATAGTTATAGAGACAGAAAACGGGACCAATTAAATGTATGTATTCCTGAAATTTTACCAAATCTCTATTTACATACTTTACTGGTATGATATTAAAAGCATAGTCGTCGCATTCACTCTGAAATTGTTTAAACAACTTTCGCAATGGCTGGACTAAAAAGGTGACCAAAAATTTACTTCCTCTGTGCTTTAGAAAGCACGTAAAGCCATGGATCAGCTGCGTCTGTAGTTGTTAGCACCCATAAACCTGCACTGGGCCTGCATAGTGAGTTGTAGCCAAACCTATTCCATCCATACCAAAGGCCTGTATCCTAATTATGGTAATATTTATAAACTGATGATGACTGGCATAGGATTGAAACAATTAGGTACATATTAAGCAAATTCACACAGCAAGTTACACAATCTCTCTGGTAGCACAGTAACAGAACAATGGTTGTGGCAGCACTTCACACAGGTGGTGATGTTTTTTTATATTTTATTTTATTTTATACCCAAATCAATATTCATGAATAAGTTGTGAATCAGTACCAACTTACCGCATTTTCTACTGGCAATATTTGCTTCTCCACAAATAAGTGATAATGTAAATGGTTGACAGATGCTAGTGCACACAAACTGTTGAAACCAATGCGAAATGCCCTAAAAATTACAATAACATTTACCTTATTCACATAATTCACTAAACTGCAATTCATTAACAAAGTTTATTACTAAAAAAAATGCTGTAGGATTATCTTAAACTTTATCACATTTAAAAAGTTTAAGATAATCCTACAGCATTTTTTTTTATTTATTATCAGTTTCAAAGAATACTAATATATAATATTGTGATCAATAGCATCTTAAATAATTCATTAAATAATCATCTATTAAATATTTTTTTTTGTAATTACTAACAACTACATAGCTAAACATTCTAGAATACAAAATCAATAAAATCACAAAATTATAAATAAAAAAAAAGATTGAAGTAAAATCATCAAAACTTGATGTAGTACTTGCCTGCACTTACCGGTCAGACGTGATCAACATTAACTTTATGACCAAGTTCAAATCTTGTTCTGTTGCAATTTGTGGCAAACAACTATTGAGTGCTGGGCAAAACAAACTGTGGTAACGTGATATGGGACTCACATTCACCAATACAGTGGAAACTTCATCAACTAAGATGAAAAACGAATTACATTAAACCACATAATATTAACATATAATGGTGTCGATCCTGGCACGATTCTCTAAATCTAAACTTAAATTTGACAACAGTGGATCCTTGTCATTCTCTGTACAGAATGAAAAGGAGAGACTGATGTTAAATTTAGTTTTAAGTTTAGAGAATCACTCCAGAATCAAAACCACTACTCAGCTAATTTCTACATGTATGTTATTGTGACTATTTTGCACCTTATTGCTTGCACTATAGAATGTCATAAAATACTATAAGGGTCCCTTAAAATTGGGTAGTGTAAATCTAACATTACTTTGGTTCACTCTGTAATTTAGGCAGACAAGAGGATCACATGGGATGTTTTAGTTAATTTAACACAGAATTGCTGACAAAGTCAAGAAAAGACAAATTGCATATTATTGAAAAGTTAGAAAGGTGACAACTATACTGCCATTGGTTGGAAGTTTGGTATTGGCAGATCGACTGTCAGCTGTATATAGAAGAACAAAGATAAAATCCTGAAGTTTGTTGACCAAACACAACCCAAGTTTAAATGTTTGTTTTATTCCTATTAAAATAGTGAGGAGCTTAATGGTGCAGGTGGTTAGCGTGATCGACTGCAATCATTTATAAGTTTTTTTTTTTATAAGATAAGAAACTTTCACAGTAGTTGGTCATTGGGATTTGGATGGGTGACCAAAAACTTCTATCTTGAGTTCTTCTGTCCTTCATAAGGCGTTAAGGGGTCTTGTTTTGCCCTATACCAATTTGTGAGGCTCTACTCTATTTGTTTACATTATAAATAAGAATTTTTGAAACTTAGTTAAATATAAACCTACACTTTGCGACCATACAAGAAGCTAATACTTACGACTTTTATCTCTTAGGCTAGTTATAATTTCTTCTGGTGATACTTTTGTGAAATTGAATTTGTTTTTATTAAAAGGTTGACACACAGATTCTATTTTTTCTGGAGTTCTCCTTTTGCTACATCGATCTGGGTTCAACTGAAATTTTCAACAAATATCTGTTTTTATTTAAATTCCATGGAGCATTTGAATGATTATATTAATATTTATTTACCTGTAACAAATACCCATCAATGACTTTTTCGCTTGTGTTGTCGATTTTGTATCTAAATATGTTTGTTTTGTTGTGAATTTCATCCCATTTGTCTTTTAGGAAAAGTAAAAAGTTGGTACAATTCGCTTCAGAAAACTCATCGATGGTATACATTACGAATTCAAATTCAATTAAACCTCTAATTAAATAAATGCAATTTGCTATTATTTGAATTATTATCTAACTAAACAACTAGGTAGGAACTTTAAATCGATTTAATTTTTAATATTGCAAAAGAAATCACATTGGAATAAGAAATTAATGATGTCAAAACAAACAAACAGGGTTGGCTATAGCTATGGGCGTTTTATAACATAGATAGTTTTACAACTATCTATCTAGCTGAATAACAATCACTCGTTGTCGAACGGCAAAAAACTATCTATTTTCCGCAACGCTCGAAATTCACTCATATGTCTAAACGTAACAAAACATGCTTTTGGTTGGCGATGGTTACTCTAGCTAGTCTCTATTCGTTTCGTTGCGATACGATACCGATTTTTAGCAAGCACGCTTTACATTACCCGTCTTGACAGTGATTCTTTTAAGCGCATTTGATTGAATGGTTAATGTAAAGCGTTCTAATAATAAGTAACTATGAACAAGAGAATCTACTTCGTGCGAATGAAGAATACTTTAAGACGTTTGCATAAGGTTAAAAATGTTCAACAGTTATTAAAAATATACAGTTTGAAATAGTTTGGAAGGGCTCACCCACCCGCGGGCTCGTGCCGATAGACAAGTTTTATATTTATTTTGCGACTTATTTTGAAGGGCCGAATGTTCAATAGTGATTGCCTTTTTTTTAAGCTTTTGTTTTAAGCTTTGACCTTGACACGTATTTCGGCTCAGTGTAAGTGCAAGTTTGCCTGCATTCGTTTGTGCATACGCAAGAGATTTAAAGAAATACGTTTGCGAGATTTTTCTGTTAATTATTGAAATTAGTTAGTAATTAATTATTAGTGTTCTATTGATTAAGTTGTATAATTGAGTGTACCTACATAATATTTACATAGTGTAAATATGTATAACTGTTAAAACATTGTATAAATAGTTTAGTTTAAATATGTCCCGTGTAGCAGTGTATTGTGGGAAAATTTTGAAAAAAGTGACGCGACGAATAAAAAAGCCAAATGTTTAATTTGCGGCTCCTTAATAAGCTATAAAACAACAACTGGGAACTTAAAAACACACTTAAGGAACCGGCATATAGATACTTATCGGCTGGTAGCGACTGCTCAAGAATCTGTAGCCGCCCCGCCACCACAATTTGCACCTCTACAAGGACAGAACCTCATCAGATCGCCATTTCCAGCTGACGAAGCGATAGCTTCTGGTTCTAGAGTGGTGCCTCAAGAAACAGTGAAACATCAATCAAAATTAGATACGTTTATCCCGAGGAAAATCAGCAAAGACCAAAAATCAAAAATAGATAACGACCTTATGGCCTTGTTCACTAAAGGCTTTCAACCGTTTAGTTTGGTTGAAGAAAAATGTTTCAAAAAATTTGCTTGCTGGATTCCCGGATATGAACTACCATCTCGCAAACACGTATCATCGGTACTTATACCACGGCTGTATGAGAAGAAAAGAGAGGAAGTGATGGCCCTTCTATCAGACGCAGGGATAGTTAAAATTTGTTTGACGATTGATTTGTGGACGTCTCGAGCAAATGAAAGTTATCTAGCCATTACATGTCATTTTATTAATGACAACTTCCAAATGCAGTCGGTTCTGTTGTCATGTGAGCATTTTCCTGATCGGCACACCAGTTTAAATATACAGGAATTTCTTCAGGGTACTGCCAGAGAGTGGAACATCACAAATAAAATAAATTTTGTTATAAGTGACAATGCGGCGAACGTACAAAAAGCCTTGCAGGATATAGGATGGAAACACTTTGGATGCTATGGCCATACGCTCAATTTAATTGTTCAAAGTGCTCTAGTGACTGTTGAAGACACTTTGATAAAAGTCAAGACCGTTGTTAAGTTTTTTAAGAAAAGCCCGCAAGCAACTGAAAAGTTGCTTAAGTATCAAAAAAACGAAAATGAGTCTGCCATACCATTAAAATTAAAGCAAGATATGCCTACTCGATGGAATTCGACGTTGCATATGATTCAGCGATTTGTCGAACTGCAATCAGCAGTAAAAGCAACAGCAGCTGTAATAGGCAAAGATTTGCCCATACTCACAGTCGAAGAGTGGATGCTTCTGGAGCAACTAATAATTGTTTTGAAACCATTTGACGATGTCACCTCTGCCATGAGCGCGGAAAAATATGTTACTGGAGGCTCTGTCATAACCATAACATGGTGCCTAATCAAAACTTGGGATAAGCTGTTGTCGGAGCATTTATTGCCATTATCAGATGAGGATCTGGTCAGTCCAGCGGCCACAGTTGCCATGCATCTGAGAGATGGCCTCATAACAAGATTGGGCAATGTAGAAAAGAGTGGAACATTATCTATTTGTACTTTCCTAGACCCGCGATATAAATTGTCTGGTTTTGAAGACAAGCAAGAAGCCGGCAGGGCAAAGAAAAGGGTGCAAGACTTGGTGCAAAATTTGATCGCTCGTAAGTGCCCTGATCCCCAAACCACAAATCCAAATATATGCGAACCAGTAGTGTCTACTTCGAAAGGAGTCTCACCATGGAGCGTCCTTTCTGAATTAATTGCTGCTAATAGACCACAACAAAAGACGGGAACTGCTCTGTCTAAAGCAATTCAGGAAGTGGATCTATATTTAGAAGATGACATGCTGGAAGTGCATATGCCCAATGGAGAATGGAATTGCCCCCTAACATGGTGGCGAAATCACCACCAAAAATATCCCAATCTCAGCATACTCTTTCGCCATTACGGTAACATTTTGGCTACCTCCGTGCCATGCGAAAGGATTTTTAGTAAGGCTGGCCTACTGATTTCAGAACGCCGTACTTGGCTAGACCACAAAAAAGTGACCCAGATTATGTTTCTGAATGGAAACGAGTAATATGTATATATTTATTATTGTAAATTTGTATATAGAAAAAACCCTGTACATAAGTGAGATTAATGTAAATACAATGAACTTTTAAGTACGCCTGTATTGCGTTACATAATATTTTAATAAGTATTATAACTATTTAAATTTCATTGATACAGCAAAGCAGACAGTCCTAAGCCTGGTAAAATAAAGTACGAAGGGAAGTTCATTGGAAATAGTAGATACTTAAGGAAGGAGGGATAGTAAAAAAATTTTCACACAATATGCTATTCTCATAAGTTGCTATTTTAGTGAATTAGTGATCTGTTCTACGACGTTGTGAAAATAGATAGTTATCAAAAATAGTTTCAAACGTTATTCAGAAACAAATAACGTTTTCGTTTCGTGATTTCAAATAACGACAACGACACATCGCTTGGCTACGTTCAGAACCTACGCTCAATTATGGCTCAATCCCAACCGCTGTCAATTTTGGCATAGGTTCCATATTTTTTTATTAAAGTTCTCCCTTTTCTGGGAAAGCAAGGGAAACAATGCTCATACAGCCTGGTTTTCAGTTTCCATAGTCCCCTGCGGTCCGAATTGCGAAAACACTGCAAACGATAAGAACGGTGCATTTTAATCGCATTTGTGTGTATAAATAACTTGACGGTTCAAGAATTCCTCTCGTGTATAAAGGAGATCTACACTACTGTTTGATTCTTGTTGTCGATGTTCTTTTTATTATGGTTGGTACAAAGGGCACACCCAATTCGGGACAAGGGCTAGTATGTAAGTGCCGAGTCTTAGGGTACGGCCACAGTGCACGCAGGTTCAGAATCAGATTCAAACTCAGAAAACAAGCGCGAGAAATAAACAGTGTAGTTTAAGCAGGATGGCCATAGTGGCAGCAGGCAATAATAATAATAATATATTTATTTGTAAAAAAAATGTACATGGTAATCTACTATATAAAAATAAGTCGGGTTTTCCTTCCTGACGCTATAACTCCAGAACGCACGAACCGATTTCCACGGTTTTGCATTCGTTGGAAAGGTCTCGGGCTCCGTGAGGTTTATAAACCTCACCTCTTTGCTATAGCAAAGAAAATTCAGGAATCTACTATATAAAAATAAGTCGGGTTTTCCTTCCTGACGCTATAACTCCAGAACGCACGAACCGATTTCCACGGTTTTGCATTCGTTGGAAAGGTCTCGGGCTCCGTGAGGTTTATAGCAAAGAAAATTCAGGAAAAATTAAAAAAAAAACTTCTTTTAATCACCAAACGAAATGTTACATGAAACGAAGCCATCTGGTGGCGAAACGGAGTTCGCGGGGTTTGCTAGTAATCTTATAAATATGTTAAAACTAAGGCCATTATTTCACACAAAGTACCTACATATAGACATCCTCAGCCAAACTAGGAAGTTCATCCTGTATTTTGGCTTCAGCGCTCTTCCCGAATTTTATTTGCAATGTAGCCATACAAAAAACATGAGTACCATAATTTCCTACATTAATCAATATTACAGTACATTAATATAATAAGTGTGTGTGTGTGGGCGTGTGTGTGTACGTGCGCGTGTGGTGTGTATATGTGTGTAGTGCGTATGTGTATATATAATCAAAAGCATTTGTATTTATAGGGCCGTGGCAACCAATTCCTCAGTTTTTTCGTAATCTAGTGAAAGTAAAAACTTTGTGATCTTCTTTTTAACTTCATATTTGTTGAGGTGTACGATTGTAATACATTTACTGATCTTATTATAAATATGACTACTCAAAAAGCGATATGAGCGCTGAGCGTAGACGGTTCTGTAGTTTCTGTGTAAACGTTTACAAACAATGTCCCTTCTACGCCCCTGCATCATTGTCGGGTCAAAAACAATTTCACTATGTTTTTTAATTGTAATAGCCAAAACAAAGAGCTTCCTGACGCTAAGGACCTCGCAATAATCACACAGAAGCATAGTTGGATACAGGTACGGTTTGAAAGTACACACCTTTAGGACCGCTCTCTGCGCGACTTCCACACTTTTTAAATTAGTTTTCGGCATTCCACCCCATATTGTAATACCATATGTCAATAGTGATTGACATAGGGCTATGTAAATACGTTTTAGTAAAGTCGGCTCAAGGACATGGCTGTTGAACTGGTTTTCAAGAAGAATCATAATTGGTACCTAAATTGCAATTACTGTGGAATCGGAGCTCAGGAAGTTGTTGTTGTGTTTTATCAGATAAGTTTTCATTACGCATTGTAAAATAAATACATTTCGTCTTCTCCGCATTTAGTGTCAGATTACTCGACCTTAACCAGTACATGACACGGTTCAATCCATTTTGTGCAGCATCATAGGTCCCAGCTACCGTTTTAGCTGAGAATAATAGAACTGTGTCGTCAGCATAAGATACAGTTTTTCCATATGTGAGTTTTAACTGACACAAGTCATTAATATAAATTAGGAACAGGGTTGGACCCAGGATGCTGCCCTGCGGGACACCATGCTTTATTTTCGATATCCCATTATATTCACACATTGGTATCTCCCAGAGAGGTAATCTTCAAATAACTTCAATTGACAGTCTTGAATCCCGATCCTATACAATTTTTTCAGCAGAATAGGAATGGAAACTGTATCAAAAGCTTTAGCTATATCCAAAAAAATTTGTTACCCTCATCGAGTCTGTCGATAACAAACTCGGTTACAGCATGCATAGCATCAGTAGTCGATCTGCCTCGTTGAAAGCCAAATTGGTTCAGCGATAATCTGCTTATACTACACTGTTTATTTCTCGCGCTTGTTTTCTAAGTCTGATATCTAGTGAATAAGCGCTTTTTTGAGACCCAGAAGTGTACACTATGGCACTTTCACTAGATGCTAAGTTTTCTATTATAAAGTTTTTACAAAATTATGAATTATATACATACAATAACCAAAATATGAACAGAATACTTTGCTTACCATTTCAAGAATATTATGTGTGTGCTTTAGTACAGGTATTGTGCTTGAGTTACTTAATTTGGCCTGAAAAGGAAAAATCAAAAAATTTAGATAAGCAAGTTTTTATCATAATTTTCATTCGGAATATCTTAGTAACAAATTAGTAATCGCTTTTCTATTAGATTTTATAAGTTAAGGAAAGTTAAAGTTATTTAATAAGTTATGTTAATTGATTGTTTTTCATAAAGTGAATTAATTCGTAGGGTTAAATACTTTTGCGAGTTATAAGTACAAAGTGAATAAGCTTGCCTCTAAAAATATTGTCGGGACTGCGTCATCTCTTAATCTTAAGTTAGGTAAGGATGTTAAGAGTTTTATTAAAGCAACTCTCCTGAAAGTCCAATGAGCATACAATAATATTCTTGGTGCCTGGCCGAATATTCTCATGCCCAATCGCGTCTAACCATTTCCTTTTTCTATTTGATGTTCAAGGCAAACTAAAAAAAAGTTAAACAAAATATCGATAAGACCAAGATCGATGAGGTGGGTACAACACTAGCGTTGCTAGAATACTATTGTAAAGATCATGAAAATTTGTTGAAAGGCAAAAGGCTTTGGTTCCTGTAGCCTTTCGTTTCTTAAGCTGGTTTTTTAAATATAGTTTCATGATCAACTTCTTGTAAAAATAGCAATTTCTAGTTAAATTGGTTAGTTACTGGTGAAAACTTAGGTAAGGTCTATTTTTGTTTTGACACAGTCCACAATCAATTACATAACACTTCATATTTTTGTTTAAATACTTAATTTAATTATTTTCATTTTTTTAAATTCCACTAACAAAAATCACGTCCACAACATTGAGTTTATTTGTAAACAAAGAAGGGAACCACAGATTACTCATGGGGAACTAAGATGGCAACACGAGCACAATATAATAGATATAGATTGTCACTACTTTAGCGGATTTTGCGAAATAGAGTGCTGTACCCCTAGCACGAACCATTATCGAATTCGAATAGTTTGCAAACCGAAATGTCAATGTCAAATGTGTACTGATTTTTAGTTCCCGTTACGTCACAAAGTATTGTGGCGCTGCTGTTCAAGTTTCCATACAATTTCTATACTAAATTACAATATAGTTACGTATATATATGTTTTCGTGTCATTTTCTAAGATACTTATTCAGAGGCTCAGTGTCAGGCATTGAGTTATAATGTAGTACGTAGTACATTATAACTCAATGGTGTCAGGAACGTTTTCTTACGGGACGATAAAGGATTTTTTGTTTATACAGCATAATTTTAGGACTTATTTGTTAGGAAGAAATTAATCATGTTTCTGTCATATCTTTCTGAGCTAAGTTTCTGAATAATCAAACATTCTTATGTTATTTTTTGAAGTTTGATTCAATTTTACTCTGCTTCCTTCCCGAATCAAATATTGCTGTTTATGTAGATATCTTCGGTCAATAATATCGGATGCGTTATTCCTATCTAAATTTCTATTGCGTCGCTATTATCGCAATAGTGTGTGACTTTGTAGCCCTTCAAATGCATAATGTAATGTGATAAAACAAATATCGCAACGAAATAAGTTAGATGAATTTACAAAGATTCTGATTATGATAAACAATTCAAGAGATTTCAGAGAACAAAAATTTTAATTTCAGATGAATTAATGAAGCGTCTATTAAGATATAATTTGATGTCTCTGAGTGAGGACAAAATTTTTACCTATTTAGCCCAAGTTTGGTGGTGTAAATAAGATCACATTAGAAACCAAACAATTAAAAACCAGTTAACTGAAAACTTATTTTTTGTTGTGATTTCATTCTTGGTCACTTCATCAGTTTGTTTTAGGTATTGCACTTATTTGTAAGAGGCAGCAACTGTGGAGCCTACAAGTCCTACAACAGTTATCTTTTAGTAATTCAATCAATTTAACCAATTAAATGTGCAAGCTGTTAAGGGTTTATTGAAAAACAGAACTGATTATAAGTCTTTATTCTCGATTTTATAATTATTTGGATTTTCTGGATTATCTTTATCATACAATAATAGAATTTGCATTATTTTTGTTGATGCTATGGCAGCATTATGAGAACTCATTTGTGCCAGTGTTTTTGAGACAGCTACTCCTATTTTTCCATGTTTAGTATTTACTAAACCAAATGTGTCATTTTGGACTCCCCTTAAAATCATGGCTAGATTATTTGCTATATTCATACACATGTTATTTGGTCCATCCAAAGTTTCTGTAAAATTGTTGTCCGTTGATGTCCCTTCCTCACTTTGATCAAATTCATCCTGTAAAATTAAAGAAGTTAAAATATTTAGATATAAACATCTAGCAGTTAAATGCTTAAATAATAAAAACATAAAGTTAAAATATGTTACATATTATAACAGTTTATAAAATCATTAAAATAAAATTAATATTTACTGTATTCTCATCATCATTTTGCTCAACTTTGACTGCATTCTGTGGTCCTTTTCGGTTAACTTTCAATAAAAATTGACAGGGCTCCCATAGGTGCCAATTTATTTTATATTCCTGAAAATTATAATTACAATATAAGTCTAGAATAACCGAAAATGTGACAGCTAAATTTGAATATTGTTTTATTTATAACGAATCACTCTCACATATAATTTATTGACATACTTTGACTATCTTTTGCAAAGTATTCCTAGTGTCTATTTGTCTAGTATTCTTAGTTTATTGAGCAGTATAATGGATCTATTACCTGAATACGATTGCCAATTGATTATTCAACGAGTAAGTGTAATTGAGCCATAAGTTAAAATGTAATTGAGACTATTTAGTCATAGATTGTAACATCCAACAACCAATAAAACATGATCTTACCTCACCATCTCCTTTGCTACGGCTGGCATTCAATTTCCTCATATAGTTAGCAAAAGTCGATCTTATATTAGTCCAACGTTCTTTCACTGCTTTACCGGTAAATTCATTTCCATATTTCGACGCAAACTGTGCATAAGTTTTGTCTCTATACGGTAAGGATGTATATTTAGGATGTTTAGGATTCCAGATATTCGGATGGCTCTCAATGAATTTTACCAATTTCAGATTCATTTTTCTGGTCCAAAAGACTTTTTCTTTGGCGAAATCTGTAATCATTGCTAAATAAAACTGATTTAAAGTAAATGAAAACACAAAACTAAACAAAACAACCAAAACAAAACTTTGATAGATACTTTTTTTTTATCTGTTTTTCCCATCTTATGTAAGGCAAAGGCAGAGCCATGCAGCTATTGGTGTCAAGCACAGACATATAACTAGTAGCAGACGGACAGTGTGACCAGATAAAATTTTACGAAAATACCGAGGCACCTCAAAAAAATACTGAAATATACCGACTTACATAGGACAGATATACCAATAAAAATACTGATTTTCTTAACACGTTTTATTTATTCATACGTACTCACAATAAATGTTAGAGTTATATTTTCACATCCTTTTCGAAGGATTAAAATTTACACAACCTCCTTCTTTTCTTCACGCTCTATCTAATAGTGCAAACCGCATTAAAATCGGTCCAGCAGTTGTAAAGTTTTAGGCGAACATACATTTTGCAAGTCTGATTAATACTATATATTGATTGATAATTGTATATGTAGTATTACAATACTACAACGCCGACAACGGCCGTCTTTCTTGTCATATCTGTAACTTACTCATAGATAACATGTATAAGTATAGGTAAACTAAATCCGGGGAAGTCCCCAATGTTCGCGTTCCGAGGAATTCCGCAAACATTGTCGCAAAGACGATCACTCACTACGGTGTTGCCATAACTTCTACCAATATATACCCAAAAATACTGACTGCCAGCAATATACCTGAAAATATACTGATGTTCGGAAAAATCGATGAAATATACTGAAAAAGTATTAAAATACTGAATCTGGTCACACTGCAGACGGAACATTCAGTTTTAAACAGCGTGGCAAATACACACACATTGAAACTCACCAAAGCATGGGCCGCATTTAGAATAATGCATTTCATTATTGTTTTATGAAATACCTATCCGAATAGATAGGTCCTAATGTGATGTCCATGCTAATAATATTATAAATGTAAAAATCTGTCTGTTTAATATCTTCATGGCGAATTTAGCCAGGCGAAATCGCTGAACCGATAATGATGAAATTGAGCACGGAGATAGAATTAACCCAGGGAAAGGACATAGGTACAATTAGGAAAATTGAAATAAAAATTTAAGGCATAGTTTTTATCTATTTATTTTGAAATAATACAATTTTTTTTAGAAAATTTCTCTGAGATCCATTTGTTTTTTTACATTGATGTTTACATCTAAGATCAAAATAAAATTTGACAACAACCTTAATAAGCAAGTGGACATGGTTTATGTCATGATCTGGATTGTTCGAGTCAAATATTGAATAATCACATATGAATTTAATCAAACTGTTAAAATCATTACTTTTGTTTATTTTAAAACAAAAAACACTTAAACACAATAAGTATTTGGTTGCCAATCCTGAAATTTCATATATTTTAACCATGCATTCCAAGTACTTTCATCCTTTGGAAACCTAGAACAAAATTGTTTATGTGGTTATTTGGGTATATACCCACCGATGCCAATGTTCCAAGAAATATGAATAGCTAGTCTGTAATAGGAACCTATCTATTTACGTTCTTGATATCATTCACATTCAAAATACAATGCAATGCAAACAAAATTAATGCCGAGAAACTTTTTGTCTTTGATACCGAGTCCGTCCTCTGTTATGGCAACAGTACTTCAGTTGTCAGAATTGGAATTTCCTATCATGATTTATCCTAATTACTTCTATTTCTTTACTTTAGGATATTAGTTTTCACCGGTAGTATCTTAGATAAATAATCCTACGTAAAAAATGTTACATGTTACGATAATATTTAAATAAGCTTCGAAAAGACTCAAGACATTTCAGTACACAACAAAGACACATAAAAACTTACTGATGAAACGTTAATCCTGGTGTTCTATTGTAGATAGCACTTTCACATCGATACGCACTGTACTTGACCATAGTAATTGAATAATCTCGTTTTGTAATATAGTTTCATCAAAGCAATATTCATAATAAACACCGAAAAGTCGCATGTCCGATAAGTCATGAACAAAATGGCGGCGAGGAATAAAAATGACACGCGTTGACATTTGTTGATGTGTGAGTCAGTATTGCAATAGATGGAAGAATGAGATGCCACTATCGAGTTGTAGCTGAGTACAAAAGGGATAAAAGATCATGTTTTGATTCATAAATATAACTAGGTTTTGATGTCGATTCTGACATGATTCTCTAAAGCTAAACTTAATTTTGACAACAGTGCATCCTTGTTATTCTCAATACAGAAGAAAAGGAGAGACTGATGTTAAATTTAGTTTTAAGTTTAGAGAATCACGCTAGAATCGACACCTTTATGTTCCGTCTGCTATAGTATTATATGTCTGTGGTGTCAAGTCTGGCATGATTCTCTAAATCTAAACCTAAATTTGACGACAGTCTGTCCTTTTCATTCTGTATAAAGAATGACAGGGATACACTGTTGTCAAATTAAAGTTTAGCTTTAGAGCATCATGCCAGAATCGATACCAGTGTATCCTTGTCATTATCTAAATGAAAAGAAGAGACTGATGTTTTTAGCTTTAAGTTTAGAGAATCATGCCAGAATGGACTCCATTGTCTTCATTTAATAGTTTTTTTGTGAAGTTTTCCTTTTTTTACCCTTTAAGAAGAAGAGACTGATGTTAAATTTAGCTTTAAGTTTAGAGAATCATGCCAGAATCGACTTCATTCTCTACAACCATACAGAATTGATTTTTGTTTAATTAATATGCAAGTTATAGGAAATAGATAAAGGTAAAAACTTATTTATCAAATTAGTACTTATTTTTAAAGCAGTGTTAATATTTCATAATCATGAATTTTACTGCAGGTTTTTATACAGGGCGTCCCACGGCTACCTCACACGGAGGGAAAGTATATTAAATATTGAAGATAGGATATTTTACTGAAAGAAGACATCATTTTATTTTTAATAATAAAGAGAACTGCATTCACTGATTTTTTAAAATCGCCTGTTACAACTGGGAATCAAACTCATGAAATTTGGAAAAAAAATACGACATATTTTATGGTAACCATCGAATGGGTTAAACATAAGGATTATGTTTTGCTAAATAACATAGCATTTTAAATGAAAGGTATATCTTATTACGTGATAAAAATAATCAAGTGACATACAAATTGTAGTACTTACGTACGTACGTAATCGTATGCATTTCTTTTTGAATTCAGTTACAATGCGATTGGCTGAAATTTGTAATAATAATTCGAAAATGGAACACATAAATTTTCAAGCCTGTGTTCTTTTGTTTTTCCTGAGTTTCATTTTCGTTTATTTGCAATTTTTTGTTAATTTACTTACCATTGCGCATCAAAATAAAATAGATTTAATGTAAGCTTACTTTATGAACCACAAAGATATATCATTAGCTTAGCGGTGGTACCGCAAAAGATATCCTGATAGAGACAAACCTTCTCGATATGTGTTTAAATAATGAAAGAAAGATAGAGGTAGAGAAAGATATTTGATAAGCCATGGTAAGTAAATTAGCAAAAAAATGCAAATAAATGAAAATGAAACTCACAAAAAACAAAATAACAGACACTTGAAAATGTATGTGTTCCATTTTCGAATTATTATTATTATTCTCTCATTAATTTCATTTCACAAATTAGGTTTTTTATAAAATAGATATAAAAGTAAAATACAAAAACGTAAATACAAAAATAAATATATTATAAAAAACCTAACCTAGAAGGCCACCAGCAGCGGAGCGAGGCCCAAGCTACCGGTGGTTAGGGCCGCAGAGAAAGATGCGCGCCGTGTCCTGCCTTTTGCATCTGCCCCTTGACCCAACCATCTAGCGAGAGGCTCTTTAGATGGTGGTCGAGACTCTTCGCTATGAGACCGTTTACGCTAACAATTTTATAGGGACAATGATCGTCGAATTCACATCCCACAAAGCGGTTACCTCGTGGGCCAAGTCCAGGTACTTGCTGAGCTTGTCCTTCTCGGCCTTCACGAGGTTCTCGTCATGCGGGATGGTGATATCGATGAGCACTGCCTGGCGTTTCAATCGATCTGTCAATACGATATCAGGCCTATTGGCAATAATAGACCTGTCCGTAATGACAGGTCGATCCCAATAGAGCGTTGCATGACCATTTTCAAGAACTAGCACCGGTGTGTACTTATAGTACGGCACCTCGAATTGTACAAGGTTGTATTGAACAGCAAGTTGCTGGTGAATAATTCTGGCTACGAGATTATGTCTGTGCAAATACTCACCGTTGGCCAGATGAGAACAACCAGAGACGATATGTCTGAGGGATTCACCAGGCCGACGACATGACAAATGTCGGCCGTTCCGTCCCTCATTATATATCTCCGATAGTTGTTCGTCATCATGACTTCGTCAGCAATTGCACAGACAAACCCTTCGGTTTCCCCAAAGAGATCACCGAATCGTAGCCAGTTCACGGAGGCGAGCTGGTCCACATCAGGCCCTGTTAGGGCCCGATAGAACCGCCCGTGGAGCTCCTTGCTTTTCCATACTTCCTTGCGATCCTGGGTGCTTGGTACCCTCGGCTTACGCCAGTTTTCTTTCGCCAAGCAGAGCGGCGTTAGGTTTTTGGCAACTGCTACAATGTCACGATGCAACCCACCCTCACTGTTAAGGAAGTAATCCCTGAGACTGCACACCTCTCGGTTGTGGAGATTCTTGGCATTTAATAAGCCACGACCTCCACACTTACGTGGGATATACAGTCTCATAACAGATGAGCGCGGATGAAGCATACGGTGCATTGTGAACAGTTGACGGACCTTCCTATCCAGAGTGTCTAACTCAGTCTGAGTCCATCTCAGTATGCCAAAGGAGTATGTGAATAGGGGCATCACCCAGGCATTGAAGGCGCGCACCTTATTGGCTCCCGACAAAAGACAATTCAGTACTTTTGTCAGTCTCTAAAAGAACCGCTCCTTCAATGCCTGTTTTACGTCCCCACCCGTAATACCCAAAGACTGTGACATACCAAGATACTTGTAGATTTCCGTCTTCGAAAGAGATTTAAGAGTGATTGTCTCAGAAAGATGTAAATTTGTGGAATTTACCACTTTCCCTCGCTGTACATGCATGACCGCGCATTTATCGACACCAAACTCCATCCCGATAGAACTACTGAAAACTTTTGTAATTTTTAGTAGTTTAATCAAGTCTGGTTGTTTTGGTGCAAATAATTTTGGGTCATCCATGTAAAGTAAGTGAGAAATGACCTCCCCACCTCTCCGGAGACGACAGCCTAGCCCTGTTTCCATTAGCAAAGTGCTAAGAGGATTTAGGGCCAAGCAAAACCACAACGGGCTCAGACTGTCACCCTGGAAGATGCCTCGCTCTATCCTTATACCATCCGACGGATCCGAGGGGTCATCTCTACGGTCTGGCTGACGAAGGACTTTGGTCCACTGTCTCATACATGTACCCAAAAAGGATCTTAAAGTTGCATCGATTTTATACAACTCTAGGATCCTTCTCAGCCATGAGTGAGACACCGAATCTTAGGCTTTTTTATAGTCAATCCAGGCCGCAGAAAGGGCTCCCTTGCTCCGCCGGATATGTTGGCAAATGGTCATGTCAATGAGGAGGAGTTCTTTATTACCACGGGACCCAACCGTACATCCGTTTTGAGATGCTGAAATTATGTTATTGGCATTAATATGCTTATTAATTTCTGCTCTCAAAATGGATGTAAGGAGCTTGTATAATGTTGGCAAACAAGTTATGGGTCTATAATTTTTTGCTTATTGGTATGGGTCTATATTATTTTGTGCCGGTAGCGGTGATCGACCTCGTCGCACAGGTGGAGGCGGCGGCGCGGTCGAAGGCGCGCGCCCGTCGTCGCTCGACTCACTGGTGTCGGGTGCAGTCGTAAACTCATTGCCCGACGAATCTGGCGGGGAGCTGGACGACGGTGCAGGCGGGGATGATGGGCGTGCGTGTGGTTCCGCTCGTCGTCTCGGCCTCAAATTCATTACACTTATTTTTCAGTTTTAATACACATTTTCACATCGTCATAGATTTTTGATTTTTAGACAGTGTCAGCGGCTTTTTTTTATTATTATTATTACAAATTTCCTGCCAGTCGCATTGTAACTGTGAGTTCAAAAAGAAATTCATACGTACTACAGTTTGTATATCACTATATTATTTTTATCACGTAATTTACATTCCTTTCATTTAAAATGCTATGTAATTTAGCAAAAAAAATTCTTATGATTAACCCTTTCCAGTTCAATTCCTATGATAACCATATCATAAAATATGCGGAGTTATTTTTTTCGAAATTTCACGAGTTTGATTTCCAGTTGTAGCAGGCGTTTTTTAAAAAATCTGTGAATGCAGTTCTAGTTATTATTAAATGATGTCTTCTTTCAGTAAAATGTCCTATCTTTAATATTTAATATACTTTCCCTCCGTGTGAGGTAGCCGTGGGACGCCCTGTATATGAAGAAAAAATACTATAAATATTAATTTGTATTGTTTACGGTATGCTCAGGATAAAACTGCTAAATATTATGGGCTCGAGTCTGTTAAAGATTCTCATTTATGTGATGCTATTCTACTCTGTACATTGTTTTAGTTATATTTACATAAATAATTAAATGAATTCTGCAGCCATTCAGTTCAAATTACTGGGATTAATACAAGTAGGTAAATGTTTTATGGGTGAAGTGGATACAAATAGTATATCTAGATAAAAAGAACCAGCTTCTAACTTACCGCTGCAGATAGTAAAGGTCTGTCAACTGATATGGCACAAGTTTCGTAGAAGTAAGTATTGGTAGGTACATCTTTCATCATAAAAGTTGCCTGGAAGACATTGTTGCTATTTAGTAATCAGGATAAAGGACGACTTTGTATACTGCTTATGGAAGAATTATATTTTTAATATGGCGTACAACTGTCTATTAATCCATAAAAAACATAATAATAATGCTTTACACCTGTGCGGTGTCACGCTTTCACGATTAAGCCACTTCTGAACCAATTAAGATCAAATTTGGTATGGGCATTTATAGGGACCTCGAGGAGAACATACACTTTGTTGTAAAAATGAAATGAGAAAGGGGTACATGGATAATAGCTATCTGGAATAGGGTATAGGAGAAAAAAATGGTTTGAAAGAAAATTTTAATTCGCAGACGAAACCTCGAAACCAATTGGCACAGGTGTAAAATGAAAACATAGGTACTTATGTACATAATTATTATTTTAAGATATTTAATTATTGACAAAGCAGAGTTACTCAATTTTTTAACTCCATCTTAGATTAAAACCTTAATTTATAGACTTCATAAACAAAATTCCTGAAAATGATATTTCAATACTTTTTCGAAATGTTTATTAGTTACGAAGGTAATAAATATGTCATTAGGTATTCGGTCAGGTAAAATGTTTACATCAATAATCAAAACAATTTTAATGAAGCCGTGTCGGTCGACGTGGGTGAGCTTAGTTTAGTTTAGCTTATTTTTTTTCACAAAAATAATGATTACATAGCTTATTAACACATAGATATGACACAATTTTGACATAATATTATAGCTGCTGGTACTTAAAAAAAAATACTCTGTTCTATAAGTACCAGCCTCTTTCCAAATTCACATCATTTGATTATTGAATTGAATTTTAACTCAAAAACTATGACAATCATTAATTTAGGCAATATATATACATATATATATATATATATATATATATATATATATATATGTGTGTGTGTGTGTGTTGTGTGTGTTTTGTGTGTGTGTGTCTTTTTCTGTTGTATATGTGAATAGAAGAAATTTAAGAGTCACTTATGGTTTAAGAAGTTCCTCTATTTCTTCATAATTTAATTTTAAGAGCCACTCTGTAACCATTTTTTACACGCATGTTTACTTTTGGGATGAGTGAGTCATGAAGCTTTAGTACGTAATACTACAGAAATATAAATAATAACAAGGAGTTACATATTTTTATAATACATGAGCTACATATATTGTTAGCACTTGCGTTTATTGAAGAAATTAGTCACGCTTCCCCTTGACCTCACTCGGGGATAAATTACGTTAGTTCGCCGGTTAACGAATCAGTCTCATACGCGTGCTCGCACAGACCGGTCAGTGCCACGTGGATAAAATGAAGTTGTCAGTTCTCATACTAACAATCGTTGTTATTATAAACACGACCGAATGCCGGCACACGTCATCGTCTTGGTTCCCTAACATCGTCGATGTTGTCGCAAACAAAACGACGCAAATCAAGAATTACGTCAAAGAAAAGGGTAGAAGCTTGCGATACGGCGTCGAAAATGTGAAAAACAAAATAACATCGTACATAGGTTTTAGCGAAGATAAAACAGGCGATCCACCGTTGTTAAGCTCGAACAAGAAATTTAAAGAGTACATTGAAAAAGCTCAGAGTGATAACAATGTTGTGTTCGACGTTATCGCTCCTGCAGAAGTTGACTACACTTGCTCCACTGACGATCCCACCATACACATGAGTACCCCTCAACTTATAGCCATGAATGGGTACCCTGCGGAATCCCATACTGTCGTAACAGAGGATGGTTATTTACTTACGCTACATAGGATCCCATTCTCCAAAAAATCCGCCAAAAAAGTGGTGCCGAGGAAAACTGTACTGCTTCACCATGGATTGTTGGGCAGCTCCGCGGATTGGATCATTCCTGGACCAGAGAAGGGGTTGGCGTACATTTTGTCCGATGTTGGCTATGACGTCTGGATGGCCAACGTCAGAGGTAACACGTATTCGAGAGCTCATGTGTCTTTGAACGTGAACAGCTTCGATTTTTGGAACTTCACATTCCACGAAGTGAGTCAACACGACTTGCCGGCCGCGATAGATTACATAATGGACACCAAAGGATGGGATGCGAAAATAAATTACGTCGGCCATTCGATGGGAACCTCAGTGTTGTTCGCTTTACTTTCGATGAAGCCGCAGTACAATAAGATTTTACGAGCTGGTTTCGCTCTGGCACCCGTCGCATATATGACCGATATAAAGAGTCCCATTCGACTTTTGGCCAAATTCAGCAACAATTTGGAGTTCCTGCTGAAGCTATTGGGTGCAAATGAGTTTCTTCCTCAGAACGCTGTTCTGCGATGGCTATCGAAACACGCTTGTGAAATCAATCACTACGAAGAGGTAATATGCGAGAACTCACTGTTTGTACTTTGCGGGCATGACGAAAAGCAGTTTAACAAAACTCTTTTGCCCATTATACTAGGACATGTTCCTGCAGGGGCTTCTACTAAAACTCTCGTGCATTACGCCCAAGAAATAAAAGCGCAGGGCAAGTTTCAGCAATTCGACTATGGGCCAAAGGACAATCTCAAATATTACGGGTCAGTTACGCCGCCGGAATATCCATTGCACGAAATAACTTTACCGATAGCGTTAATGAGCGCCCAGAACGATTGGTTATCAGGTAGCATCGACGTGTCCAACTTGTATGTTCGGCTGGTCAATCCTATAGAACATTATGTGGTTCCGATGAAAGAATTCAACCACATCGACTTTTTGTGGGGTATTGACGCCCCGAAACTTGTTTATGCGAAGCTAATACGTTTGCTTGAAGATGGAATGAGCATCTCCTACACAGAAACAAGTGTTAACGAAATCATCTGATTTCCAAAAAGACAGCTGAGTAGATAAATTTGTTAATGATAAGTAGAAATAATGCATTTAGTATACCTAATATAATGTGATAGAACTGTAGTTCACTTACTCATAAAATACCTAATTACGGTTTTGTAAATTGTAACAATGCTAGTGATTCGGGCCACGGCTAGTGATTGTAAATTGTTGTGATTGTTTTGTCTTGGACAATTTACTGTAATCAATGAGACATTCAATTTAGTTATTTGCAAGTTATTTGTCATTAATTGTACTTTGTTTGCTGGTCTAGATGTAGTTTAGATAATATCTAATATGGCTTTAAGTTTTAATATAGCTTGTAATATTGTAGAAAAAAAATAAGCACTATGCTTAATGATAATCTCACAAACATAGATTTTATCAAACTATTAAAAAATAAAGAAATTTGGACTGATGTGTTTTGACAATCTGATGAAAATTTTTGATAGACTTTACAATTTAATGATATGAAGTTTTGGTTGTATTTTAAGCAACGATATTAAATATTTAATATCGTTGATTTCAGGTTATCAGTTTTCATTTCAAAGCTAAATCGAGTTAACAAAGTAATTAGGATACTCCAAACAATCTATGACTTCCAAAATGTTTGCCATAATTATTATTTACCTACTACAAATGAAAAACATGTTTATTAAATTACCTATAAGTTAAATATTAATAAACTAAAGTTATGTGTCAATTATTTACTTAGTTGCCATTTTAAAATCTAGTCAAACCGTGATACTGCTTGCCTCAGAATCTTGATCGCCGGTGTATTAAAACATTTGAAACAACGATACTAAAAACCATTGAAAAAATAAAGGTGTACTCTTCTATCTTAAAAGGTTTTTTTGTGTGTTTCTGAAGACCGTCCTTTTCATGTCCCTTGAGGTTGGCAGGTAATAAAGTTCCTCCTGAGCAAAGTAAGTAGGGACAGGGGCATTCAATCGTCAATGCGTCGAATGATATAAGTAAGTCCATGATAAAGAGATTATTAACTACCTACCCATGTTAAAGCTACTTCTTATCTACGGACAGACAGTGCATGCATAGGATAGTGCAGGTCTACCATATAATTAAATAAGTACCTACATTTATTATTGATCAGTTTGATTTCGATATATAAGCTCCATTTAGATATGTAACAGTTAAAAGTTCCAAAAATAATTAATGTATTGGAGCGACACACTTATCTGACGTCTGCCATTAGCTATTTATATACGATTGGACTTACTTACCCCTAACCATCCCTAACATCAGGAAAGGTGTGATGATTTGCTGCTCCACGTCTTATTAAAAATGTCAAAATCGAAGTTCACATAAATTTAGTAATAAGGAAGCTGAAGGTGCATGAATAAATTAATTAATTATAACGCTACGCGCACAGAGGTTATAGGTGCTTAATTATCAAATATCCACGTTGTAGGGGAACGGGGTTCATCCACGATCCCGCAATGAGCCAAGTCAAAAGAATCCCACAGAACATTTAAAATTGAAAAATAGCATCCATACGCAACGACGTATGCGACAGAATGCTAAAATCAAATAAAAATCAATCTTGCAATCATTAATCAAGGAGCCAAACGCAGCTCTATTCCAGTGTTTTCCAATTAGTGGTACGCGTACTCCCAGGGGTACGCGAGGTTATATCAAAAGGTACGCAGCAATCTCTTTAGCAAGATATTAAATCATAACCATGATATAACCGTGTCATAGCATAGCCGTTGTTCGTCACGGGCGTCGAAATGCAGTTCTTTACAGCTATGTCTTAAAGCATCTCAAAGCGTAGACCCAAGTCAATAAAATTTACATTCATATCATGACCGTATTTTGGCTTATAAATATATTATTATTTGCAAATATCCTATTCTATTTATATTTATGAATATCACGGATACAATATTGATAAGAAAAATACATCGGAACCTACATCTACTCTTACTTAAGTTAAAGTGATTAAGTATCTCTGCAGTTCTAAAAACAAATGGAATATCTGACTATTACAAAATACGTAGGCAATATTATTATATTATCACTCGCTCGGCATCCGCAGTGAGAAGGTTCAATGTTCAAATAACAACTTACGAAGTTATCCCGACTTGCTTATGCTGTTCTGCTTTGTATGAGTCATTTTAAAACTTAAGAGGCATATTACATTTCGACTGTGATTTTTGCGTAAATTGGCGTTCTTGATCTCAGAAACAAATATACATTAACAATTTTGATCTATTGAATAGTGCAGAATAACTATTGGCCTAGTTCGTAGCGGCCTCGCTTTTTGTAAATTTTGCTTAACTTTTTAATTAAATCCAAAATTGCAGAGGAAGATTTTCAAAAAATGCGCGAAGGCACTTTTTTGAGCTCCTGGATTGAACTAAGTAAATTTATTGTTCTAAGCAAATTAAATAAAAAAATGAGAATGTTATCTCCTATATAGTCGTATAGTTCGTAGCGGCCTTAGAATTTTGAAATATCTTTGATTTAATATAGAAAAAAACTAGGTAGGGAAGATGCAATATTTTTATTTTTGTTTTCATTTTAAAGAATTCCATGTAGAATAAACCACAGATATATTAAAAAATTAAAACATTGTGATTTATCGGAAAAAATGCGGTTTTAAATTGACAATTTAAATTTTCGCGCGAAAACGAACCTATGGAGGCGATGACGTCACTCCTGTCTGTCACTGGTCGTAATTGTTCGTTGCTGGCTTTAAATTTTCATACTTTTGCATATTTTTTCGAGGTTCGAAATATTTTTTTGAAAAATTTAAAATGTACTATCCATCAACATCATGTGATCATAACAATACCACTAATATTCCGAAAAAAAGCCGTGTTGACTCATGTTTTGTGCCACTCTACTTCAACAAAGTTCCCAAATAAATTGTTTTTGACTGGAACTTCTGACCCAAAACTGAAAAAAGTGGTTTCAAGCTGCGAAGAGAAATGACAATTATTCTCCAAAGACCATTATTCGATGCTGAGAAGATCACTTTGACGTAAGTCGGCGAATATACTTGTTATATGCTTAATTAATCTGCTTGTACGTAAAAACGCATTAGTAACCTACCTAATACTTACAAAACCTGTCTATAACATATTTTTAATTTTACAGTTGGAGAATGACGTCGAAAATTAGATAAAGTGCGGCACAATCTTGCGTTTCGAACCAAGCTTTGCGTTTCATTTAAAATAACTGTAACACGATAACCTTCTTTACGTACTTTATGCTCCGGAGAACTCGACCTTTTACTGTACATAATTTTCCATCTCTTTTAATTTGGACATAGCCGATTGCATTATCGCCGTAAGATTTGTAGAAGCCGCTGAATAAAATACGAAGTAATTTAGTCTCTTTCATTTCTACACTTAAAAACTCTGCACTTTGGACAAAAAAAGTTATAACCATGTCAACGCTAACTCTTGGTAAATTCCTGGAGTCTGCTTTGATAAACGCAACTTTCATTTTTATTAAATGTAAAAAAATGCAATAAATATTCCCATAAAATAATATTTACTTTAACAACCATAACCTCAAAGAAGTTGTCATAACAGGAGTGACGTCACTAAACGCTGATTGGTGTTTTAAAATACGTTCCGTTTCAAGTATTTTTTAATTCGTTTATTAATTCGTAATAATTGTTAAAAAACAACATTATGTAAAATAAAAACGTAGCAGTGGCATTTCTTTTATATTTTTTTAACATTTTAAGCATAAAATTTTCATAAATATTATATATGCATCTTCCCTATTGCGATTTACTCCTATTTACGATAATATTACTAAGCAAAATTTATACCAGAACAATTGTTACTTCATGAGGAATAAAGATTGTATAATTTTAAAGCATGAATTTATTCACTTATTTCAATTAATACGATAAATACAACTGCAAAATTACTACAAAATGCGATGCGCCGATCGTCCGAACTCAGTACCAGTGTTTCCACAATGAGGGGAAATTCCCCTTTTAAGGGGAAATTAGGGTCCAGAGGGGAAGAAAAAGGGGAAAGACATGGAAAGGGATAATTGTGGGAAATTATGGGTAAAGCCTAGCTTAAAATAATGCGGCACGGAACAAATTTTTTATGGACTATACCGTGGACTAGAGTCTTGCCGTATAAAAGAAACTGTGGCAACACGTGCAGATTTTATATATTTTATTTATCTGTTATAGAATAAGATACATTAAGACCTTTTTTTCTTTAGTTACTACACTAGTGCCAAATCTAAAAACTGCAGTAGAATTATTTCTGAGGGGAAAAATGTCCTAAAAAGGGGAAATCTGAATTGAGGCGTGGGGAAATGAAATCATTAAAGTGGAAACACTGCTCAGTACTGCGCGAGCGCTTCTCAGCGATGGACGTGTGTCAAATTTTTTCTCATTTTTTGCGCCATAATCGATCGAGCGTCAGAGTATAGTGCGACCAACAAGTTTTGATCAGGTAAGTATAATTCTTTTAAGTGTTTGTTTTATATGGAATCTACATAGCATTGTGTTCAATTATTCTTTTAATATTAATATTTATTTTATTATTTTTGGCATACCATACATATATAATATTAACATACAATAAAAATGTAAACGGGCCAATTTTGCATTTTTTTTTAAATTGTCTTCTTATGATTTTGATGAAATTTTGTTTTTGTATTGCTATTCGTCCTCTGTAATAAATATTATTTTGAAGATAGGAATAACTAATTTGGAACTATTGCAGCCCAGCCAAACTGGAAGAGATACAAATGTAGACACATTGAGTATTTTGTAATGACCTAAAAATCGAATGTCTGGTGCACCTGATGTGAAACTATGGTAGCTTTCCAATTACAGCATTATGTGGCATAATGCTTAACGTTGAGTGTTTCAACTACAGCAACGCTTCGCACAATCGAGCACTCTCAAAAGTAATGCTTTCGTGTGATGCGTGCAATCGTACCAACACAGAGACAGAAAATTAACAAGTGTTTTTTCTTTAAGTTGGCATTGATCGAAATGTTTTATTTATATGTTATCGTTAGTAATATTATTTATTGTTGAAAAATTATTAAAACTTTCGTTTCATTATAGTTTTTTTTATTAATCAAAGTTAATTCAAATTGTGTTAAAAATTACATATAAATATGGATGAAGGTACAAACATTGACTTTTTTTTTCAACACTGAACTAAGCGCACTCTGCTGGTGCATTTGAATACTAATTCACGTTCCAATTAGGCATCAGCATAATTCGGCATTGTGTGCCACTGAGTCGCATTATGCTCTGTAATTGGAAAACCACCTCTATCAACCCTGCTAAAGTATAAGAGATATTCAGCACTGATCATTTATAATGTCACTGTTTCAGAATGAATAACTTCTCTGCCAAGAAAACATTATTATTTCCGATGGATAAAGAAAATATCCCGACATTATCACTACTGTATTATTGTAATGATAATTAATTGATTTTTGACACAGCAATCAAATGTAGGTCAACAACTACATATTATTTGTCTATTTAAGATGTAATAGTGTATAGGTAATCACATGCATATGTCCTGCAGTTGTGTTTTTGTAATAATGTACACAGGTACTTATTTCTTTTTTTTTCTATTTGCAATCTAGTATCCATATGTAATTGGGAGTAGTCATGCTCTCTTAAAAGTCTCTTTGGCGGTGTCATGTGAGGCGGATCGTTACGTTCCTTAAAACATGGTTGAGCGAAGCGATGGCTGGTTCATGCGTCATGCTGGTTAGTGGGTGCTGCCAGCGGTGATGGGTCTGCTCTTGCTACATTAAATGGGGTCCCAAGGAGCTTCAATGGCGACCTCGAACCGGGAAGCGCAGTGTTGGTAAACCCCTCACGAGGTGGAGTGACGACATCAAGCGAGTCAGGGGGACCTACTGGATGCGGAGAGCGCAGGATCGTTTCTTATGGAAATCCCTTGAGGAGGCTTATGCTCAGCAGTGGACGTCCGTCGGCTGATAATGATATCGTTATATTTGACTGTAATCGTACTTTTTTATTGTGTCTTAAGTGTCCTACACGTCGTTCTTAAAGTATGTGTTAAATAAGTATTTTTAAAGTGTTAGTATTTTTATATATTTTATTTGAAAATTACTTCATGAATTATCTCATATTGAAGTCATTTTTAAGTTTGACGGCTTTGTATATAATGGCAGGGAGAAAAAGAGCCCTTGCTGAGTTTCTTGTCGGTTCTTCTCAGTACAAGGTCTCCCGCCTTAGATTTGCGAACCGGTGGCATAGCATTTCGTCATTCACAAATACTTGTAACAGCCTAGACTGAATAAATGATATTGAGTTAGAGTTTGATTCGTTACAAGAAAATCGTTTTATTTTTGAGGGAGTACATTTCTGACATCTGTGAGTTACTCGTAACAGGGTATTCCTATTGGCCACCTCATAGCAGGATACCGCGGTGGCTAAGAGTAATATACCGTTATAATATGACTAACTGACAAATGTCAAGAACGCATTCTCTCAGCGGGCAGGTTATAATATGATGAATCTGAAATAAGCTCATGACTGTTGCTTTTTCACACAAAAACCATTAGATCGAGTTGATTGAAATTTGGCAAATAGGTAGTTCTGACTTAGGGTGTTTTATACTGTCATGTAAATAATCAAACATAATAGTAATATATATATAAAAATATATAAATAATAATAAATATCTAATCTTTTATTTTAATCTAAAACGAAAAACATAAAAAATTTTTTTTTTTTTGAACAAATATCACGTCTTATTTATGGTGTCATCTTCATTTAATCTGTTTATTCACATATGAGAACCTCCATGACACTCTAAAAATGTGCGGGTATAGCGATAACGCATTACTACATAGAAATACTAAAAATATACAAAACTTGGAAAAAAGTATCAAAATCGCTTGATCGTAGGTTCAACACAGTATTGTAAATTCGTGACCTTCAATGAGTTGTCGGGAACGCTTCAAATACCCATTCTCGCAGAGTGCAGATTTGTAATAGGGCTCTTAATATTTTTATATTTATGAGCGTTCGTAACGCATAGGTAGTAGAAGTAGATATTAAGTATTTTTATGGTGTTTGCCTGCGGATTCTGTGGTTTCTGTAACCAAGGCCGGTTGTCAGATGGGTGTCCAAACAATATTCAAGTCTTATTTTTTATAGGTACTTCTTTATTCATCTATATTATTGATAGTAACATAATTTTATAACGACCTCCGTGGCTTGAGTGGAATGAACGCCGATTATTTTGCAAGATGTCAGAGATCCCCGGGTTCGAATCCCGTGGAGCAAAAGGCTAGTTGACCCTTTTTGAAAAAAGGATTTAAATGGTTAATAAATGTTCTATTAGACCGAAAAAAATGTATTGTATTTGTTTGAGACCTAGAATGCTACAAATCTTCAATTTTAAAATTAGCTTTTCATGGACATATAATAACGCTGTCGGCCATTTTAGTCTATAGATTATCTATGCTATGACGTCGACGGTAGTAAACTAGTCATTGTAGTAAACTTAGACCATTAAACCATTAAACCACATTAGTGGTTTAATGGTCTAAGGTAGTAAACAAAAACTCGTAAGCACGTAGAAAATAACCTATCTGAGTTTATAATAAAAAAAAACATGATTTCTAATAGATACCACGAAAAATATAGTAATTATCATTATTGTATTGTACGAGAATGTAAAAACACATCCTTGAAGACTCCAGGAAAGTTGTGGATTAAAGTGCCGAAAGAAATTAACCTACGCAATACCTGGTTAGAACTTGCTAAAAGTTATCCTGCAACTTTATCGACTCATAGTAAAATTTATTTTTGCGAAGAGCACTTTGATATAAGTACTCATTGAATAATATTTTAAGTCTCTTCATTTATTATCAGTTTTAATAATACAAGTTTTAAAGTAATATGATTGACATTTAGTGGTTTACTAAAAGAGACGTCACAATCATGGCGGATGTGGCAAACAGCGTTTTTAGTGTTTAAAAAGTATAGACTAAAAATTTTTTTTGAAGTTATACTTCTTTAGCGCGTTATGAAAAAATGATGAGAGTGAAATTTTTAGATGCGCGCGCATCACTGTAACCCAAAAGTAACAGCATGAAGTTGGCCGCGGGCGCGTTATGAAAAAATCATGTGAGTGAAATTTCGAGATGCGCGCGCATCACTGTAACACAATAGTAACACCATGAAGTTGGCCGCGGGCGCGTTATGAATGTTAGTGTCTAATAATGGTGGATTATTAACCACTAAGTGGTTCTGTCGAAAGGTACTTTGAACGATCCACGGAGCTCCATAAGATGATCGCGTTGTCAAAAACAATGTTGGCACGCTCGTCGCCTCTGATCACTGTTTTCATATTTATAATATTTATCCACATGTTTCTAGTTTCTATATAGACACAACGTGTTTTAGTTACTTACAAGTGCTAATTACATATGGACTAATAACTTAAATTCAGTAGTGATTTTAATTGAATATTTTGAATATTTATTTAATTTTTCAAATTAAAACTGAACTTAATTGACTGTGTTAACTATCCTTTTCCAGTCCTTTTATTATTTTATTGTAATTATTAATTATTTGCATGCAATTAAAAAATATTTTTAATGATGCTAAAGAAGTATAACTTCTCACGCGCGTACATAAGTTACACGCATCCATTTTTTTTAAAATTAAATTTCTACAGCAATCTGCTGCTTTTATGAAGTGAAATCGATATATTTAGGTTCCTTAGACCAAATACTTTAAGAAATAAACATTTATTTTAATACAATTCGACATAAGTCAACTAGCCTAATGTTTGTGTAATGAATACGAGCATTTGTATCTAAGTAAAGGATATATAAGTTTTATCTAAAATAAAAAATGTACTTATGTCTCAGTATTTATCCATAACACAAGAATTACAGTACTTTGGGGTTAGGCTAATTGGAGCGAGTTGTAGAAATCTAATATATAAAATTCTCGTGTCGCGGTGTTTGTGGTTAAACTCCTCCGAAACGGCTTTCCCGATTCTCATGAAATTTTGTGTGCATATTGGGTAGTAGGTCTGAGAATCGGACAACATCTATTTTTCATCCCCCTAAATGAAAAATCCACCCCAATTTTTTTTTTCAATTTAGATATATTTTTTAATTTTTTTATGATACATCATACAAAAATACATACAACCCTAAATTTTCACTCTTCTACCACCAACCCCTATTTTTTATAGCGGTACGAAGTTCGCTGGGTCAGCTAGTCTTATATATAAAATTCTCGTGTCACAATGTTAGTTACCACACTCCTCCGAAACAGCCTGACTGATATTTATGAAATTTTATATACATATTCCGTGGGTCCGAGAATCGGCTACTATCTATTTTTCATATCCTTAAGTGATAATGGTTGTCCACATGTAACGTAATGTTCTGAAACCTACAATGTGCCTTCGTGTCAAAATTCAAACTATTGGGTTCGTTACAATAGTAACGCAGTGTTCCCATATGGGTTAGGAGGAATGTTATCCCAGGAAATTAATAGAACACTACGTTACACATCCCTTAATTTTTTTTGACAATATTTACTTTTTTATAATGTGCTATTAAAAAATACATACAACCCTAAATTTTCTCTTCTACTTTTTATGGCGGTACAAAGTTCGCTGGGTCAGCTAGTATTTATATATTATTATTATAACGCGTATGCAACAGTCTTTTTAACCTTAATGCAAGGAAGATAATAAACTAAGCTCTAATGGCTATATGTAACTTAAACAATGACCTTTTTTATGTAGATAAATTCTAGGACCATTAATTCAATTTAAGTGTTGCTAGTAGTAGTACATGTCGTAGTGTTTAACTCTTTTGGGTTTGGCTTTAAAAAACTGAACATCTTTGTCTATTTATTTAAAACCTCAAAAGTGACTGTCACCTGTCAATGTCAAATATCAGCTGATACGAACAGTGCAAATGATGTCCGAATTTAATAAGGTGCTATGTGCACTATTTGCGCACAATCAATTCGGACTACACTTTAATCGCATTTGTGTGTATAACTTGACGGTTAAGAATTCCTCATGTGTTGAAAGAAGATAACTGCTGTTTGATTCATTGCTTCATCGAAAACTTTTAGTGAATAGACATTATTTTATTATCTGCCAAGAGAATGCAAACAATTTTGAGAAGAGTCATACAAAATCGCACAATTCGGACCGCAGCGATTATTGCACGTTTTGTACTAAAATAGTGTTTGTTTGTAGTTACTGTTTTGGGATTAAAATATTGCGTGTTCTATAAAACGGATTAATTTATTTTTAGCTCATTTCTTAAAAATATATTTGAGATTTATCAACACAATGGCTTATTACAAGGGATGGCGATACGTCGCCTTTTTAACTGGTTTCGTTGGGTTCATAGGAGTAACACTTTATCCAATAATAATTAGTCCAATGATGGATTCTTCGGAATATAGTAAGTTTAAAGCTTTGAAGAGAAAAGAAAAAAATCCTATCAATCTGGGTTCGGAATGGATCCCGTCTGAACCGAGTGGAATTTATTCTTGACAATATTTTCTCTTATTTATAATAGTAGTAGTTAAATCTTAAAAATATATAGTTTGTGTGCGAAACATGTAATAATGACCCGATAGTTTAAATAAATTGCTACTATTGAAAGTTTTTCGAAATTCGGTATTTATGAAACACGATTAGTGGTTAATATGATATGTATATAATATGATATGTTTAGTTATAATTTAATTGACTGGGTAACTTACGCAACATATTATTTCAGAAAAAATACAAAAGGTAGCAAGGAAAAATATAAGACAGGAGGATATTCAACCAGGCAGTAAGTACATACAGTAAAACCTGTTTAAGACAATTTCACAGGGACAACCAAAAACGCATCTTAAAGGGAACGGAAAGCATATTATGCAGGATAGGGGAAAAAATGTAGTACATTTTAAGATTTATTATATTCTATTATTGTGTTCAATGTAAGTATTGAGGTATTAAATGTACAATATTTAAGAATTATGTACATTATATAAAATGTAGTGTATTATTATAACATTATTTAAAATAATCACATATTTAGTTTGACAAAAAGATTTGAGGCATCACCAATTACAAAATTTTCAGCATAATATAACTTTTGCAGTGCGTCGTCGCTTTGATTCAAAGAAGTTACGTAGCGTCTTAAATCATTAACTGCTGATCAAAATCGGAGTTGACTTATCTTCTTCTTGATCATTATCACTTAGGGCATCTTCTTGTGTGTTATCAAGAATATGTGGTATGTGTTAGATATTTAGGCATATTAAACGGGATGACGTACGATTCGTCGTTAAGTGTTAAGAAATGTATGAAAACATGTCTCAAGTTGCAGGAACTGACATAAAATTGCATATTATGCGAGAAATTGTATTAAGCGTGAGCGTATTAAACAGGTTCTACTGTATATTATTTATTGATATTAATAAAGTGCATTGCCAAATAATTACAATGCAATTTCAATCACTATATAGTATTTGCATAATAAGAGAGAGAGAACAGAACTTAAGTAGCATGTATATACAAGTTTGATAGAGTATTATTAACTACTTTTCTTATTGACTCTGAGAGGATCACTTTATCTGTACACTAACGGATGACTGTGCTTTCGTCCACCTTAAATGAATTATTTGTAGAATCCTTCGGGATCCCCAAAGTTTTCTGTAAAAGTATACTATGTCTCATTCTAGGTCATTTTATCGGCTCACTTCTGTTTCAACGGTCTATAGCAAAAAAATAAGTTAGGTTGAGCAATAGCAATACATTTTTAAAACACACAAATAAGTTGGTTAATAAATTAGCTTCAAAACTGAGTAAAAACTTTTTTCTCAATATAACTTATTCTTCTTTGCTAAGGACTGTCGAATGAAAACTTAAAATGCTTAAAATTTGTTTCAGATATGAAGGTGTGGTCAGACCCATTTGATCGAAAAAAGCCAGAAAGTGAATAAGGACTCATTTGTAAATAGTGTAATTTAGGATACTTAGCTTTTATTATTTAATAAATAAAACATTTTTATTAGGTACATTGTTGTCATAGCATTAAACTGTTTATTTTATGAATTCTCTTTTTTCAGTTCCATAATCGAATCTATTGTTTGTTGGCCCACTATGCCATATAAATGGTTGTTGTGAGCATTTTGATGATATAATAATATATATACATGCATAATTAATTCTTTCTTGCTATGCTACCAGAGTATTAAAGCACACAATGAATAGCAGTTTAACCCATAACCACACATCAAGTGATTTTTCACTCTACTGGTTCTTGATAATTACATTGAGATTGAGAGCTTAAAAGCCTATTAGAGTACCCAATTTTAGGGGCCCCTAACCTGACTAAGGGTGGTGTAATATGAGTTAGGCAGTAAGGGACCTGATCTCCTTTACTCCCTTACGCCCTGACGATCAGGTAGTGAAAAACCTGTTAAGCAGTAAGTAAGCTTAGACGACGCTCTGAGAGCGTATAGTACGGACGTTTTTGTAGTCGAATTAGTTTATTGTCAGTTTGCGTTTAATGAAGAGAACAAAATGTGTTACTTAATTTAATTGAGATTTAAAATTATTGTGACAAATAAAAATAAAAAACTATTAAATAAAGCACATATTTAAATTATCAGCAAAAACTAGGAGTTCTTTGGGCTACCAATAGGGTATTTGACAAGTTTTAGAAAACGATCCCACGTTACTATATTAACTAATGTTTATGGAGTCCATTAAAAGTGGACATTTTTAATTCTGTAAAAAAAATTAAATTAATTATTTAAGTTACGCGAAAACGTTTCTCTGGACATTATGGCGTCTCACTAGTGTGTGACGCTATACTATACATGTACTGTCTTTAAAACGTCAAACGATACAATGCCATGTCACTTTGGCCGGAAGTATACTACGTCGTGTGACGTCATTTTAGTCTTGGCCAAACAGGCGTTTTCGGTCACGGTACCATGGAGCAAAAAATTCATTTCTATTTAAATGAGTTTTTAGAAAATTTATTAATCATTTGTTCTTTTAAAATAGTAATATCGCTGCTATTATTAATATTAAATACAGATGCCAACAATTGGTACATTACTTTTTATACTGTCAAATAGCCTATTGTATTTATTTATGTGAGAATTTAATATTTTTCTCTTTAAATAAATAGAAAAGTGCGGAAGGATTACGAATAGTTTATAACTGTCTTCAGTGCACCAATCACCGGGTCCAGTTGATCAAGGGACCCACTCAAATGCACACATTTTATTGATATTGGTCCAGCCGTTTCGTTTTTGACTTTTAGGAAGACTAATGAACAGCTGGCAATAGATTTTTATATATTAGATATACATGATTAGAATCTACTTATATATATGGATCAAACAAAATTGAAACACAAATTATAAAAGAAATGTTTTATTATTGAATTTTTTTCGTGGACATTTCCGATACTTATTGAGTCTGATTCAATCACAATTTCATAAAAAAATAAACGAACATCTGAAAATTTCGTATTTACATTTTAAAATGTGCTTTTGCAGCTTAATTTTAATAATATATCGCTCTTTTTCACCATTATATCCAATAAAATTTAAGATAAGCTGACACATATATTAAGATTTTATATTATTATTATTAAATCACTACCGTCAAAGTATAAAAACTATGTTTGCTATAGAATATTTACATAATTACATGCACATTATATGTCATAGGTCATGACAACCACAACTTTTTCTTATTTTTATATAGCCATGCCTTAAATTTATTCTGGAGTTGTGGTTTACAAGCCATTTTAACACACCAGAAATATCCAAAATGGTATTTTCAAACAAATAGCATGCCATTTCAAACATTTACTAAAATGATCATATTTTGTAAATAAAAATAGGAAACATTAAAATTAATAAAAAAATTAAATACAGGAAAGATATACGTAACATAATGACTAAATGAGCAAAAATTAAAGGTACTTATAATTTTCTTTCAAAACTTTACCAATTTATCAACTAAAAAATATAAAACCTTGAATGAAGTTACAATCAGAGAAATGTGTGTTCTTCTGTCATAAACATAATAGGTTTATATAAAATATATCTTATTAATGGGGACAACACAAACATAATATTTTCAACTACTACATAATTATTAACTATTTAAAAATATAAATTGCGCGATTCAAGCTGCAATTCAAATATATGTAAACTAGTTATTATATTATAAGTTTGCGAGTTTTTTTTATAAAATAAACCGTGTTTCTTAACTGTGACCTTTTTGGTGACGCTACAAAAATGACTCGCTTAAAACTATCCCCAACCATACCGTAAAACATTGTACTGTTGTTAATATATTTGCTTTACATTTGGTTGGATCCAAAATTACTCTTTATAGGGGCGAACTTAAGACACATAATTGCATAACATGTATCTATCAATCACACTTCGCCCATCATAATAATTATTGTTTACTAAAATAAAAAAATGCAGTTTAGTACCATTTTGTCTTTTATCATGAGACACGAAATTTTTAATTCTTAATCACGTTAAATATCATTATAGAAAATCTTCCGTCTATATTACGAAAATCTTTACGGGAGACACAAAAAAGGTTTGTGTATATACCTATTCAATATCCATTAAAAAAACACAAGCACACATTTATAAAATTATCATTATTATTTAGAGTATGAAAGACAACATCACAAGAATAATATAATGATAAATGAAAATAACTTCAAAGCCGATATATTTGAACACATTTAAAAATATTATGTACAGATCAATAAGAGCTCTCCGATAGAAGCCCTTTAAGTCAATAATAAAAATGGACAAAATTTTATATTCTGAAACGACGAGGATTTCGCCTAATATCTTAAAAGTAGATAAATTTAGTGAACAATAAATGATTAAAATCTTACATTTACAGAATTATAGCAGCAACACTTCGCATGTAATTCGATGTACAACCTACTTGTGTTGCTAGTTTCAAATGTTTTAAAAATATATATTGTATAGATTTTTTTACTATACATGTGTAACTGGTACCATATTTTTAACGTAATAAAATCAGAATAATTAGGAACGTTTTTTTAAACATAAACCATCACAATTCCAATAGCAAATTATGAAATATTAATTTAGTTAATTCTTCTATGATGGCTAATTTTCACATGGTAACTTTTAAATTGACTTTTTATTTTAGGTTGAATGATCATACTTTTAAACATTGTTTTTTTAGAAAAGAAAAACTAATTAGTGGTACTCCCTTACCGTATCATTTGAGTATGTAACAGGCGTGGGTACAAAAAGATCGATTTAGTTAAAATCAATTGCATTAATTCAGATAAAACAAATTTATTTCCTAATATTTCTCAGTAACGACATAAATGCTCCCAGTTCCAAAAATACTAAAATTATTATTTAACATGCCTAATCTTTTTTAGTTTGGATTCAATTCAATTCAATATCTCTTATTCAGTCTATGCTGTAATAAGCACATTACAGGGTAAATCTCTAATTCAGCTTCTTTCTGTTGCAAACCGGGTAAAATTAATGTTTCTTAAATTTCCATTCCACGTACACCAATTATTTAATATAGCACTTCAAACGATGCAAGTATTTTGTACAGGTAAAGTCCTTTTCAGAACCTGTAGTCCTAAAAACTTTGGGAACTTAAAAATTATATTAAATATACTAATTCTAATTCTTCTTCTTTTTGAAGTCAGGGAAAAAAATACCAGTCGAACGCTTTATATGCGTTTAGTGTTAAATTAAACAGCTGAACTCAATTTATAGAAAATATCTCGGATAGTGCATTATATTTTAAACCTTATAAGCCACTATAAAATGCATGTTTTAAAATGCACAATCGCACTTGCTTCTATAAATTTTGTTTAATTATTATAACTAAAATCTTCAGTTAAAGTGTGAAAAAAGAAATAAATATATATATATTTCTCCACTTAGAACAATATGGACTAGTAGAGAATCCGTTAAGACATTAAATCTGCCATTTGCTGCATGAAAATAGTAAATAATTTAGATTTAGTTTGTAACAGAATGAAACTTATTAAAGTTTTAACTAATTTTGTGCAATTTAATTCACTGAAATCAGGTCTAAAGGTATACTTTAAATTTATATTTAAATATGTTTTTTTGCAACTGTAAGTGATAGAAGTTACACATAATCATTGCTAAGTATCGAAAATAAAAGATATATCACACATAAAATGAATTTAACTCATAACAGCTCAAGATTTGTAAAAATACATAATTACACCCTAATTTTCTTGCCAGTCATTGTCCAATAAAATGTGGTAACACACACACATTTGATGCGGATCACAATCGTAACGTAGTCGCTGTATCGAATTCAAATGTCACTTGTCCGTATCCAATGTCCAATAGAGTTATTGTAATTTATTTATTTTAAGAAAAAAATCATTGCGTGAACTCGTCGTCATCGCCGACCTGAAAATAAAACAGAATTTTAACATTACGTATTGAAATTGAAAAAAAAGTATTTTACACAATAATAATCTATTTGAAAGTATGAGAAATAAAGTACTATATTTATTGGCATGTGGATTTAACGTAAATATTGGGAGCGACCTCACTATTCTACCAAAAAAAGGAGTTGCTGATATTACTTAAAATCATGATCAATAGAAAAGTTTTTTGATCTATTGTCACGTGAGCAAAAACGCCTAGAATTGGCGGAGCCCAAAAATGACGTCACCTGCTTGTACCTGCTGTTGAAGTGACATTATACTTTGTGCTGTTTGACGTTTTAATGAGAGCCGTGTGACGTCAACTAGCTGTAAGACGCAGAATTTGCTAGAGAAACGTTTCTAAAATATAACTTAAATTTTTTACAACAATTTTTATTTTAGTTTTTTACTGATATAGTTATATATTACGCAACAGATAGATCTCCACACACTTTTTACTGAGTCACTCACTATACAGTAATAAATAACATGTCAATGTTTTCAAAACTTCACAAATCGTGTAATGTATTAGGTTCACCATAAAGGCTTACTAACACTTTTACATTTTAATGTCCAGAATGAAACAATAAGCGAATAATTAAAATACCCCACCATCCGTAATTAAGATAATAATAAAACCTAAAAATGAAAATAAAATACCAACTTAATTGCTCATATTTGCAATAACATAAAAAATATGTTCCATAAACTGTATTATTCATTAAGTTACTTATCAGTTCAAATAAATTATCGATCACTATTCAATTATGTACTTACGTCAATTAAAATCATTTTAAATAGACTTTTCGGTGCAACACTGTTAGACAACAGACAATACCCATCTTTCAAAATAACCTTACTTTTCGACTCAAGTTTTTATTTTCTATTTTTCATATATTTATAAAGAAATTAGTGCTATAAAAGATATTGAATTAATAAGTCAAACCCCTAGAAATGCAAATGAATGTGTTGAGAAATCAATTTAGTGAGTCATTGCGTGGGAATTAAGAGGTAAAGTTTTTGTTAACTTTTAGTCTAAATTCGTTTGGAACAGACTATGGGTACTACGCACTCGCGGGTGCTAGTAAACTCCCAATTTAACGGGACTTCTCTAGAATGCGTCGATTGGCGTATATAAGCGCGATCGAGCCACGCAGCGGACAGTTGAATTTCAAAGCGATAACAGTCGATTTTCAACAGCAGTTTCGGAACGAATATGAAGGCGATCAAAGTGCAAGTAGTGTTCAAGTGTGATTGTTTAAAGACTTGTATAGTGAAGTACAGTGTTTAGTGAGTGTATTGTGATTAACATTGTCTCTGAACTGTGTGCTGAATAAAGTACTTTCAAGTGTGAACTGGCATATAATTTCGAACCACATCCCGATAAGTAACTATATCATCATCATCAGCCTATTAATGTCCCAACTGCTGGGGCACATCCCTTCCCTATGGATGGAATAGGGACATTAGGCCATGACCCACCACACGGGCCCAGTGCGGATTGGTGGGTGCTTACGACTGCAGAAGCAGCCTTCCGAAGCAAGGAGGAGCTCGAGATAGTGAATTTTTGGTCACCCATCCAATGACCGACCACTGTGAAAGTTGCTCAACTTCAACGATCGCAGCCGAACGCGCTAACCACTTGCGCCATCGAGCTCCTCTATAAATAATATTAAATAAAAAAGTAACTATATAAATAACAAAAACGAACCTGTAGAAAGTAGTCGAAGTCGCTGCGGTGACAGGTGCCCTCACCGGAGAACTTGAACTTGTGGAATGTTCCATCTTCGCAAACCACTGTAATTGTGAAATAAAACACTAAAATGTAGGCTTCAATAAAAAACGAGTGTGCTTATGACCACACGACTGAAGTGAAACTTCTTTAGCTCCATCTGTATGTAAGTATATAACCATATATGTGTGCGCGTTACGAAATGTGTGTTCGCCTCGCCCGAACACACATTTCGTAACGCGTAACGCATTCGCCAGCTTACCCCCCAAGTCAAGAGTGCGTAAAGAATAAAAGGATTAGGCCCACTTGTCACTAGTTTCTTAAAAATTTTAGGAAGTAATGATGTTTGTGTGACGAATACGAGCATTTGTAAATGTTTAATATGTATTTCTATATAAATATATGTATTCTATCTGTTACTCTAGCATCCCATAACACAAGCCTACAATGCTTACTTTGGGGCTAGGCTAATTGGTGTGAGTGTTGGTTCGCTTTGTTACGTTACGCGTTACTGCACCAGTCTGTCTGGCTTCCCTTCGCCGCAAAAGCAGATATGTCACCCATCAATTACCAACCATTACCCACCAATCCCCTTATCATCCTCGAATTCCCCTTTTCACCCACTAATCTCCTGTGCTCAAAAAAGGATAGTGTAAGTTATCCACTTCTGTCGTGTCTGTTTTATTTATTTACTAGCGGCCGCCCGCGACTTCGTACGCGTGGAGTTAGTTATTTGCACATACTTTTTGACCGCAAAAGGGGGTTTATTTCTAAAGATACATTATTAGTACACCATCTATAGACAATACATGTTAAATTTCAAGTCTTTTACTTCAAAAACATACGACTTTCATAATAATTTTTGAAGAAATAAAGGTTCGGTTCCCGTAGGTGATAGCGTGATAATATGTAGCCTATATGTTGGCTTCGGTATCGATTGTAGATCACAACCACAAGTATTTTTTACAAAAAATATTCAATGTACAGTTTTGACTTTCCAACCGTTTTATTATATGTATAGATATAGATAAATGTCTCACCGACGGCACTGGTGTCTGAGAGCAGCGCGCAGAGAGCCCTAGTGTCGGGATGTGCGCAGGCACTCGCCAGATGAGGGTATTGACCCCGCGCAGACCACACGTGCAGAGTGCCCTTGTCCGATACGCAGCATATGAGTGTGCCGGACTGGTTGAAGTTTATACTAAAAATGTCAAACAGAAAAGTTACTATAATGCCAAATACCAAATATGTAGAGTGGACAAAAAAAAAAGGTAATTTACTAAGATTAAGTAAGAAAAAACATCTGATTTTTATTAACATTAAGTGACTTAGATTGAGAAAAAAATACAACCGATATTTAATAATATTTATTTATTAAGACTGTGTGAGAAAAAACATTAATCAGAATCTAGGTCTTCAATTCCGCTCATCTATGCATTACCGCCGGAATAGTTATGAATAATAATAAATAGAGTTTCTGAACGCAACTTAAAGTGACATTTGGTAGACGATTTAGGTTATCAAACATTCATAGCCAAACCTCAATAAATGAAAAAAAAATATCAACCAATATTCATCATTAATATTTTTATTGTTTGTTTACAAATGTTTGGTTTTTATTATAGAATTAGCAGAGTGATAAAAAAAGGTTCCAAGATTTTTTTGCAAACCCTAATTTTCAAGTGACATTTGACAGATGGAGGTCATTGGCTTTCCTATTCTTATTTGAATCGCACTATATTTACTTTCCCCCACGACTACGGCTAACTAGAGCCGAAGTCCGAGTCTCAAAGACGCCCTCTAGTTTAGTCGACCCCCTCAGGTTCGAGTGGTCTAGAGGTTCCAGACGGAGAGGAGACTCCCCCCGTGGGGAGATGCCATCCGCCTGGAATACCTCTAGAGGTCCCCTTAGGATCTTCCCGTCCCCAAACCCGGTGACGCTGGAAAGGTCATCTGCGACCAACAGCATACACACTTAAAAAAAATATTTACTTTGTTCATTATAGTTATTTTGTTAACGATCAACTAATGCGCTTAAAACAGTTTATTTATAAAAAGCAATACTTGTGGGAACTTCAGACCGCTAAAACAATGTATTAGACACATTCAGACCATGCATGAAGACGATTTTAAAACATGAAATAAATGGCAATTTTATTTAGATTTTTTTTCTTTTTTAACATAGGAGCAAAAAATAGTCGAACCAGTTCAGAACACTGCGAGCGCGAGTACCACCCGCTTGAGACACGCGTTTGTTGACAATTTTAGATATATTGTAACTCACCAATACACATCAGCATAATCCGATCCGCGTCTCAGTTCGTGCAGCAATTGCCTCGTATGCGCGTCCCACACGCGCACGAGTGTGCCACGCGCCGACGCCGTCGCCAACTTCACGGCATTCGGGGAAACACTCACGCACACCAGCTCGTTGTTGTGGCAGTTTATCACGGCCGGGGAACTGGACTGAGCGCCTTTCACCGAGCGTGACACGTCCTGATGATGTTACGATAGAGTTAAAGACAGAAACAAGACGGGAGAAAGAGGGTTTGTAGAGAAAAAGGAAGGCCAAACACGTTAGGACGCAAATAACAGAGAATAGCCAAGGAACTGAATTTGGCGTCATTATTATAAACGCCGAGATGAAAGTAGACACTGTCTGTAGACTATCTAATCCATGTTGGGATGCAAATAACAGAGAATAATAGCCGACGAACTGGATTTTGCATCATTCAGCGAGTAAGACGCTCCTCATAGACGACGTGATAGAATTAGAGACTGTCCTTTAGATAAGAAGTAAATTACAGAGAATAAAGGCCAAGAAACTAGATTTGACGATATTCATCGAGTATGATACGTCTAATAGACGTCGAAATGGAATCAGGGACTTTCCTATTGATGTAACGATACAATAGTCATGAATTAGTGCGCGAGACGACTCTGTCCCCAACTTCACGGCATTGGGGGAAACGCTCACGCACACCAGCTCGTTGTTGTGACAGCTTATTACGGTCGGGGAACTGAACTGGGCGCCTTTCACCGAGCGTGTTACATCCTGATGATGTTACGATAGAGTTAGAGACATAATGAAGGCGAAGGAAAGAGAGCTTTGACTGGATAAGGACTGACAAGCAACGTTGGGATGCAGTAAGGCTCTTCTAATGGACACACCGAGATGGAATTAGAAACTGTCCTATTGAAGATATGCAAATAACAGAGAATTATATCCAAGAAACTGAATTTCTTTTATTCAACAAGTAAGACGACACTTTTACTATAAGCCGAGCTAGATTTTGAGACTATCCTATTAATGCAACGATACAGTAGTCAAGAACTAGCGCCGATGCCGTCACCAACTCCACGGCGTTGGAGGAAACACTCACGCACACCAGCTCGTTGTTTTGGCAGTTGATGACCGCCGGGGAACTGGACTGGGCGCCTTTCACCGAGCGTGATACGTCCTGATGATTTTACCATTGAGTCAGAAACTGAATGAAGACGCAAGAAATAGACCTTGGACAGGATAAGGAAGGACAAGGAATCAGGAACTTTCCTATTGAGTAACGATACAGTAGTCAAGAACTAGCGCCGATGCCGTCACCAACTTCACGGCGTTGGAGGTAACGTACACCAGTTCGTTGTTGTGGCAGTTTATCACCGCCAGTGAACTATACTGGGCGCCTTTCACCGAGCGTGACACTTCCTGATGATTTTACCATTGAGTCAGAAACTGAATGAAGACGCAAGAAATAGACCTTGGACAGGATAAGGAAGGACAAGCAACGTTGGGATGCAATAAGGCTCTTCTAATGGACACACTGAGATGGAATTAGAAACTGTCCTATTGAAGATATGCAAATAACAGAGAATTATATCCAAGAAACTGAATTTCTTTTATTTAACAAGTAAGAAGACACTTTTACTATAACGCCGAGTTAGATTTTGAGACTATCCTATTGATGCAACGATACAGTAGCCAAGAACTAGCGCCGATGCCGTCGCCAACTTCACGGCATTCGGGAAACGCTCACGCACACCAGCTCGTTGTTGTAGCAGTTTGTTATGGCCGGGTACTGGATTGGGCGCCTTATATTGAGCGTGACACACCCTGACGATGTTACGATAGAGTTAGAGACAGGAGAAGGAAGGCCAGAATAATACTATGACATTCGATTTGGCGCCATTCAACGAGTAAGACACTTCTAATGGACTCTGAGATGGTATTAAGACTAATCTATTGAAGAAACGATATAATAGTTGACAATAAGCGCACGTGTATGCTGCGCGCCGATGTTGTCGCCAACTTCAAGGCGTTAGTGTGTTTATTACGGCATATTCTTATGATTTTACAATTGAGTCAGAAACTGAATAAAGACCCAAGAAAGAGAGTTTAGACAGGATAAAGACGAACAAGCAACGTTGGGATGCAAAAATAGATACTAATAGCTGTGGTACTGGATTTGCTACCGTTCAAAGGGTAAGATGTGGTAATAGACGCTAAGATGGACGTAGAAACTTTCCTATTAATGTAATTAGATGGATCCCAAAATGAAGAACGTGACTGTACATCTGCTACAAAAATAAAGGAGATTGCTCAAATTGGCCCAAACGCACAAAAAATATTGACATACACGGTAATTCTTGGCGCAATTTATAATTTAATTTACAGTCATTAGATTTCAACGGACACCTTTGTATAATATGTTTACTTTAAAAAGGCCTTTTAAATTTACCGGTTTGGAAAACATACGAATCATTTTTAATGGCTATGGGTGTAGTAACATTCAGCCAAAGACTGATCGAAGTTGTTTAAATAACATAAAAACAAATTTATTTTGTAAAGATCGATAAAATAAATCATTTTTTTTATTACACTATGGTTTTAATATCCGACAATAATATGTAATATTTAATGACAATACAACTATATTATCATTTTCACTACATGCAAATGTGCTCAGACAATTATTATAGATGGTAGGCGACATCATAAAGTCTATTGACATACATTTTTCGCCAAACACCTCCATAAACACATTTTAATCTGTGTATATGTTAGACTTTAAGGTATCTATCTATGCGCCAACGTTGCCTGACTATAAATTAATATATAAATAAAATTATAAGGTGTGATACACTAAAAATCTAAACTATGGTTATATTAAAAACATAACAAAAATAATGAAGCTACTGAATATATGGCTATATAACCTAAATATCTTAGCTTTCTTTGGTTAACGAGAGTTAAAAAATTCTCTCTAATCTGTGGCTCATTCACAATCATCACACAGTTTCTGTCACAGAGTACCTTATTATAACCGGAAATGCATAGATGACATCTCATTTTATAAGTTACATCTACATGCTCTATATACCTGAATCTAATCCATAATTTCGGTACTTGGCTTGATTTCTCTAGTTTACTATATAACTTATTTGTTTTTTATTATTTTAAAATGTTCAGTGTATATGGTTTATAGAAGTTCTCAGGATGTCCGTCAATAATATTAGTTTCTACAGGAATTTATATATAACTAGCTGACTCGCCGAACTTCGTACCGCCCAAAAGTAATAATTTGCAATAAATTAAAATAGCGACTATAATTTGAGATATCTCTCAAGTTGGATCGAACTGCACATGGTGTGCGAATTTTATTATAATCGGTTCAGTGGTTTAGGAGTCCATTGAGGACAAACATTGTGACACGAGATTTATATATATTAAGATTTCGAATCTAGGAAACAATTTTTCATGATTATTGGTCTTTAGGCCAAACATGTATGGAAGCTGAGCAATCTCCTTTGTTAAGTCTTCTATGTAAATAAGTGTGCTCGTACCAAAATCTGCAGCGCCCCATTGCGGGCGGCGGGGTCATATTTAGACCATTTTGGTAACGGTTCTATTTCAAAATTGAAACTTGCTAGGAATGTGAATTACGGTATATATTGCCACATTTACTGTACATTCACAACAAATACTGACAACGCTGACTCATCATGTACTTTGTAAGTTTCGACGAAAACAAACAGACAATTTTTTTCTTTCGCGGTTTGTTGTACGGAACCCATCGTGCGCAAGGCCGGCTCGCACTTGGCCGGTTTCTCATTAATCCTGACGTTTTCTTAAGTTCAAAAAGTAATTTATGAAATGAACATATCACAAGTCTTCGTTACCTTCAACTGTGGGTTACCTACAGAGATGTGATTTATTTGAAATACTTCTATTTTAAATGCAAATAGAAAATGCAAAATGCCTATTTTATATTTTGTATTTAAATACCTTTCAGTGAAAAGTATTTTGTATTTTATTTGAAATGCCTTTCGAGATGCATTTTGTATTTTTAATATTAATTTCAAAATGCAAAATACTTTCGTGATTAAGTTTAGCCAACATTACCAGTCAAACAAAACAAAACGCTTGTATTGCCGAATTCGACCGATAGAGGCGCCTGCTAACCATGCGCGACATTTTTTTCTTCTTTGGTCAAAGTGCGCGCCTTATGTCAAGTAATGTCTGACAAGTGTCAATTTCTAACGAAAACGGCGAACATTAGCCGTTGACACCGACGATTTGATTTCACGACGAGTTTAATATTTTCTGGTGCTAGTGAAGTAGTTACTGATTTGATTACCTACTTCTCTGATATTGAAGTGTTGTTATTATTTCTATAATACTGAAACGGTTATGCACTATACCTGGAACGGTTACGTACTACAAGATAATTTAGATAATCTAAATAGACGTGACTTGGTGGATTTGGCTGGTGTTTAACAATTTCTACCTGAAGTCTGTCCAGTTTATTGCGCACCGTTAATTGAAATAATAAAGGAAAGTATTCAAAATCGTTTCGAAAAATTTGATTTAGATAACCCAAGATCCAAGGACAGCATTCTGGCAGCAATATCGTATCCATTTTTCAAATTAAAGTGGGTGCCTAAAAATAAGGAGCATCTTAGGGAGCTGTTTATCCAGGAAGTCAGGAAATTTAAAAATGAAAATTTAAAAAGCTGCCTCCTATCACAGACATCGGAAAGAAAAAGAGAAAACAGTGAGTCTTATTACATGTTCCAGGATTCAGATTACTCGGCAACCAGTGAGGGTGGTAGTGCTAATAATACTACAATAGATCTGGAAAGCCTGCAATATTTAAAGGATGAGAGCACAAGTCTGGAGATGCTAAATGCTTATCCTACAGTAAAAAAAGTATTTTTTAAATACAACACATCCTTACCAAGTTCAGCACCAGTAGAAAGACTTTTTTCGTATGGTGGGATGATAATGAGACCTCACAGAAGAAAAATGAGTGATGATGTATTCGAACAACTGGTATTGTTAAAAAGCGTAATAAATAAACAATGATATTTATTTTTATCACTTTTTAACAATACCAGTCCAGTTCCAGTTGTTATTAGTTTTAATAAGAAAAGTGTAATCATATGTAATATGTTATTAGACGTTTGTTTTTCGGCTCGGCATTGTGTGTCTCTATTGCTCATGTATGATAAGTAAATATGTACCTATAATAAATAAAAATATCTGTGATTTGGTCAGGGGGTATTTTATTTTGAAAAAGTATTTTGAAAATACCTATTTTGCATTTAGCATTTGAAATACAAAACGCAAAACTATTTAGTATTTTGCATTTGAAATAGTAAATCTGAAAAGTATTTTGCATTTTGTATTTAAATGCTTTTTTAAAACCATTTTGTACATCTCTGGTTACCTACAATGCGAAGAGATGGCGCTGCCTTGCAGCTTAAGAAAGGCTTGAAAGAATTCGACACGGCCATCAGGGCCCCGGTAGCATAATGGTCAGTGCATTCACCCCGATTACACAGGGTGCGGGTTCGAGTCCCATCTGCTGCCTGGTCTGCGTGGATTTTTTTCTGGTTATATTTTCTTTAGATTTAAATATCGAGCAGTTACATGCCTTAAAATAAATATGTATATCACAAGTGTGGTGTCATACCAGTATCTGCAGCGAGCCTTTGCGATGCGCGGGCGCAATGAGTATCGGCGTGGCGGCAGGGTCAGTCGCTATGGCGCACAGCGGCCGCGTGTTGTTGGGCGTACGGAGCAACGCGACGCGGCTCAACATCGGCAGAGCTAGCACTTGTATGCTAGATGGTAGCACCACTGCCACTCTGGACCAAACGACAAATACACCGGATCAATAATAAAAAAAAAATGTTTGCACGGACCACACATCTGAAGTGAAACTTCTTTTCTTAAATTTATACATATAATAAAATGGTAGGAAAGTCAAAACTGTACATTGAATATTTCTACATTGGATATTATCTACAATCGATACCGAAGCCAAAAATATAGTTTTTATAATTTTTGTCTGTTTGTATGTATGTATGTCCGGGATAAACTCAAAAAATACTCCATGGATTTACTTAAAATTTGGTACGAATATTATTAAGATGTCGGGTCAACATATAGGCTACATATTATCACGCTATCATCTACGGGGAACGAGCAGTGAACCTTTATTTCTAACTAACTCCACGCGCACGAAGTCGCGGGCGGCCGCTAGTAACCTATATATTAGACAGGCATAAGGCATAGGCGAATGGAGCAGCGCACGCATCACTCCGACTATATATATATATATATATAGTTGCAGGTGACACTCGTAGCGTTTCAGCCTTTGCCGCGTTACTCTCCAACTTTCATGCTCGTCGGGAAGAGCTGCGCACGCAGCGCACACACATACATACTTCAATAATATAATAATAAATAAATATTTCCAACACCCACATCAATTAGCCTAGCCCCAAAGTAAACACTGTAGGCTTGTGTTACGATATACTAGGGTACCGGATAGAATACATATATAAGTATATTGATTTAGAAATACATATTAAACATCCATGACTGGAGTACAAATGCTCGTATTCATCACACAACCATCTGTCCCCACCGGGATTCGAACCCGGGACCGCACGAGTAGGCCACACCTTGAAACCTGGCGAACAAACCACTCGCCACTCGGCCTTGGAAGTCGTCATAATAAGTCGTCAAAAATATCAAGATACACACACATTCCATAGCGATGGAATAGGGAGATAACCTTGATTAAGACAGAAGTTTCAAATATCTTTTAAAGGAAAAGAAACCTTGTTTGATAGTAATTAAAATTAAGTCTATGTTTCATTTATGAGTTAATTTTGCTGCTAAATCTCGATTCAACTAAAACTAGCTTCAAGCATAGAAAAAAAGTTGAGACATCAATGCGCAATGTCAATTCGACATTATTGTTTGGGCTAAAACCACTCTTAGTTAAATTGAGGACCTTAAACAACAAATATAATGAAATGTAAGTAATTATAAATATAAATACTACAAAAATTAAATACTAATAATTATTCTTCTTTATTTATGCAATACAATCTAAATCCAAACAATTCATGTCATTATAAATAATTATGTAACCTTTGACTGAATAAATAAAAGAAATGTAAGCATCACTCATAACGTATCAATGCTTACTAACTACGCAGCAAAATCGTGTTTTTAGTACAATGTTTAAAGCATATTATAATCACGTGTACCTATACATAAACGTGTCTATATTATTAATGAAAGTGTTATTGTCTTGGGAACGCCATTAGCATACGCGCTTGCTAATTATTTACATTATAAAGTTTATAAACCTTAATGACTATCGATATCATAGGATAAAGAATACCAATATTGTGTGCAAAGAGCCTAATAAGCCGGAAAGATAAATTCCATTTCGTATTAAGTTAAAATTACTGGGTTTTTGGGTGAAGGTCGGCTTCTATCTTATCGTGTTATTGTTCTAATAAATGATTTATAAATACATACATTTGTCTCTCTCTCTAATAATGGTAAGTATTGATCACAAGATAAATAGGCAAAAAAATATTATCTCGTGTTCCACCGTGCTTCAGAAAGACCGTGAAGCCGTTGGTCCCGATTGCATCTAAGTCGTTAGTTAAATAAATAAATAAACGTTTATTGACTTCAAGTTAGTTACAATATAAAATATTTTTAAATAGATGTGTCAAAATTAGTGACAATAGGCACTTAGTAGCTAAAATACTTTAGTATGTCGTAAGTTGGCATCACACACTAATGCGCCCTGGAACAGCATGAACCGATCTTCCAATTCCATCCATAGTGATGGAAGTTCCATTCGAACCCAGGACCTTTGAAGCGGAAAAGAGGGTTCGAACTTACCAGCATATGAGTGCGGCTTAGCAAGCGACGCGGCGACGCACCGAGAGATAAAATCAAAATGTACTTATGACTTTTTGAACTGCAAATCAGGAATGAACTTCTGAAGCACAATGTCTAACAACCAGCTGCATTAAATCATCATACTCACGTGTCACTAATGGCGCGCAGGGCCTGTGAGGCGAATTACGCAGTATTCTGTTGGGCGAGTTACGCAGGGTTCTGCCGGGCGAGATGCGTAGGGTCCTGTTGGGCGAGTTATGCAGGGTCCCGTTGGGCAGGTTTCATTTGAAATCGTCGATGAATCGTCACCGTTACTCGTTGTAAAGTCGCATCAGACTGGCATTTTAGTTGTACTTATCTCTTCTGGCGCACAGGGCCCTGATCGGAGAATTGGACTGCATTTCGGCTGCTTAACCACCGCTGCTTGTCGTCCAATAGGAACAGACTGCAGTATCAGCCATTACACTCCCTTATATCACCTGGCGCGCAAAGCCATGATAGGAGATGAACTTGAAACGCTAAAGCCTTGCACACACAGGCTGCTATTTTGTTTTGACTCAGTACACTTGCTCGTTTTTTTTTGGGGGCAGGATCTAGATAGGCCAGTTAAACTTCACCTCTTCGATGAATCGGCATCGCTGCAGTCCAGTTGAAACAGGCTGCCATTAACTCAGTATACTCACTTGACAGCTTCACCAACCAATACAAACTGCGCCCACTAGGTGGGTCATGGCACATTCTCCATATATATATCATACTTTGGGAAGTGGGGACAATAAAGGCTAATGATAACACCCAAAAAACGAGCAATGGAGAGAGCGATGCTCGGTATTTCCCTACGCGATAGAATCAGAAATGAGGAAATCCGTAGGAGAACCGATGTAACCGATATCGCTCGAATGGATTGCTCTGCTGAAGTGGCAGTGGGCGGTACACGTAACAAGAAAAACTGATGGCCGTTAGGGCGGAAAGGTTCTGGAATGGCGACCAAGCACCGACTACGAGGTGGACCGACGATCTTGTGAAGGTCGCGGGAAGCCGATGGATTGCGATTGGTGCAGAACCGATGAGTGTGGAGATCCTTGGGGGAGGCCTATGCTCAGCAGTGGGCGTCGTACGGCTGACATGATGATGGCACTCACTTGTCCCTCCTGGCTCGCAAGGCTCTGATCGGTGACTTGAACTGCACTTCGGCTATGAACCGTCGCTGCTTGTCGTCCAGCAGGAACAGGCTGCAGGGCCGTCGCGCTTTCACCACCAGCAGCCAGTTGGTGCGGAATATCATCTCGCATAGTGACACCTCACCCAACTCTTCTTTGCCTTAACAAAGCAGCTAGTATTAATTGGCTATAATACAGTTTGACAAATAAAGTACAAATTATTGGCATGTGTATTTATTATGAATATTAGGAGCGATTTCACTATTCTGACAAAAAAAGTAGTTAATACCACCACTCTTTGATATTACTAAAAAAGTCAAATCATGGAAGAGAAAAGAATTTTTTATCTATTGTCACGTGACCGAAAGATACGAACCTAAAATGACGTCATCTGCTTGGGGGCCATTCACGTAAAACTATTTAGGGGTGGAGGGGGGTCGACCATGTCTTAGTTTTTCTTAAAAAAATAAACATTAAAACAAAACAAATGTGTATTCATTTTTTTCCTTTAGATTCTTACGTAATAAATATTAAACGGGGGGGTGTCCGCCTATTCTTATTTTTTCTTATAATAAATTAGCGAAAATAGTCCTACTACGTAGGCATGCTTTTAAAGTGACATTGGTGTCGATTCTGGCGTGATTCTCTAAACTTAAAACTAAATTTAACATCAGTCTCTCCTTTTCATTCTGTATAGAGAATGACAAGGATACACTATTGTCAAATTTAAGTTTAGGTTTAGAGAATCGTGCCAGAATCGACACCATTACTTTGTACCGTTTGACATTTTAATAAGAGAAGTTGGTAATGAAACCCAAAATTGCTTTGCCAACCCTACAAAGAATAACATAGCTCCAATTCAAAAGTAATGCTCTCATATGCACTCATATATCTCATTCGACGACATCCTTGGCCGAGTGGTTTGTACGCCGGGTTTCATGGTGTCGCCGTCTCGAGAGGTCCCGGGTTCGAATCCCAGTGGGGGCAGATGTTAGTGTGATGAATACGAGCATTTGTACTCCAGTCATGGATGTTTAATATGTATTTCTATAAAAATATACTTATATATGTACAGTATATGTATTCTATCCGTTACCCTAGTATCCTATAATACAAGCCTTCTAGTGCTTAGCTTGGGGCTAGGCCAATTGGTGTGTTGTTTAAAAAAAAAAATATGTACTTACTGTAGTGGGTCTTCTCCACAAGTGGGTCCACATTGTAGACGCGCAGGCCGGATGTTAGGCAGCAAGTGAAGCAGCCTGTAACAAACACCACCATTATCATTATCATCCTATTAATATCCCCCACTGCAGGGGCACAGACATTCCCTATGGATGGAATAGGGAGACTGGTGGCTGCAGATGCAGCCAGCAGTAACGGCTTAACGTCCCGTTCGAAAAATGGAAGTGCTTGAGATAATAAGTCTTCGGTCACCCGTTCAATGACCGACCACTGCGAATGTTGCTTGACTTTTATTATCGCAAACCGACTGTGCTAACCACCTGCGCCATCGAGCTCCTCATCACCATCATTATCGAACACTTACAGCTGTACTCAGGGACTTCAATTAACTTTTAAGTTTGTTTTAAATTATTATCGAAACATTCTTTTCTTTTAGAATAGAAAAAGATTAATGCATATGCAGCCGGGACCAATGTCTTGAAGTGCCCTCCAAAGCACGGAGGAGCTCGAGAGAATAAATTTTGGTCACCCATCATGACTGGCATGATGGGCCCAGCACCCGCACGGTGGATCCATGGATTGCTAAGAAGTTTGTCTCATAAACACCAACTTCGAAGTAAAACAAGTGATGCTGCAGCATTTCTTGAGATTATCAAGTTCAAACCTCATTCATAAGCATAACACAATCACACCATGTGGAAGTTGGTCATACAACTTCACACATTGCATCAACTCTTTCTTATTGATGTAGGCCCAAATTAATAGATTACTCTCAAGTCTGAGAGCGATCTTGAAATGCTGTTTTGTATGAAAACATTATCTCAAGACCATAGTCTCAGAGCTCTTTAATACTGGCCTTCATCAATTAGAAAGAGTTAATGAAGTTTAAATGGCAGTAAAGATAATTATATCTGAATAACTATATCTATAAACAGCATTCAAACAAAACAAACCAAAATCAGATCATCTATTTGGAAGCTACAATGCCACACTCCGATGCATGATACACACAAACATTTATATATAACACCCCTCCATTTGCATCAGCATCAGGGGTTAAAAATAGTCTTTTAGAACAGAGCTTTGCTAATTTCGGTACATGAGTTAAGTCAATGACTTAGGATACTGAACCTTTGCACTATTTAAAACTTTAAAAGATAGCAAAAACAAAGTGTAAAAATAATTACATGACATCATACCTACTTCATTGTTATGTCTATACTATTGTGTACCATAGATTGTATTTTTCTTTAACTATTAATCATGTTTACATTACTTTTATGTAAAAGATTTTTTTTAAACACTGTTAATGTTATACCTCTGTAAATTAATGTATTTCAATACATACATTTCGTAAATGTGTATTGTAGAGATGTTTTTCAAAATAAATTAATAAAGCATGTGCAGTCTTGTATTCTTTATTGTTATTGTTATTATTGTTGTTGTCTTGTGTCAATTAATAATTATTAATTGAATTACAAAATGGTGTAGATAACTAAAAGCTATCATTATTGACAACAAAGACCTTATTATCTAGAAGTAGAAACTTGATTTTTTAATTAGGTTTTGGTATAAATCATTATAAAATGATTCTTTGATAATTAAACTTTCACAATTGAAAAAATAATTACAAAAAATTGTATATTATTGAAACTGTTTTAATATATGGTCAATTGCAGGAAAATTAGTCAAGTTAAGGATGAATATTATATTTGAGTCGTATAGTATCAAAGGCGGCAAAGTAGGGCGAACCAAACATTTGGCAAATCAAAAAAAAACTGTTTAGTCTCGTCTTTAGGTAGGATAAAATATTGACATTTCACTACGATTTGTAGTTATGATGAATGTCAATTAAAAAATCCTCCCTTAAAGACGAGACTAAACAGTTTTTTTTGATTTGCCAAATATTTGGTTCGCCCTACTTTGCCGCCTTTGATACTACACGACTCATTTTTAAAAAGTTTCATAATATGCTACCTAGTTGAATGAACAAATTAAGTGACTGAAATAATCTATACCCACATATGTTACATTTTATATAGCTTTATTATTAAATTTTAATTTTTAAGAACTCATTAAGCAATTTACTTTTTAAGGTAATGATTTCTTATAGTTAATTGTAAGAGACACTAAATTTAGCTATCCATGAGTAATTGCAAAGATTAGGGGCACCTTTGCAGATTAAGGAAATTCAATTATTTATATGTGGGTAGGTATGTATTTTATCAATGTTGCGATTTTAAATCAGTACTTGTAATATAGTTACAGTTTATTAAAGAACTAAAAGCACAATGCTGTTTGAAATAGATATAAAGATCCAAATTCTACAGTAGTTGATACAGTAGTGTATATTGTCAGGGAATAAACTCCGAAATAAATGTGCATGTGTTCATTCGTCTCCTGAAATAATCGTATTTATTACGTCTTTATTTATCAATAGAGCGCGAAATTAGTGCGTATCGTGTAGCCAAACAAACCAACGCCTTAAACAATAGCGCGCAAAGTAAAGGAACGAAGTCAGCGCGTGGGTGCACTACTAAAAATATAAACAACACGTGTAGATGCGATTTGTAAGTACGGCGTGCTGTGACATTCTCCGAAGCCACGCAGCCGAAAATCACCACGCCGCCGAATGATAACACAACTACCTTCACTAGCATCATCCATATAATGACCAAGTCACCGAAATCATGAATAATGCACAAATCAAAGAACAAAGAACTTAGGTTCACGAACGAGGAAGTCTGACAAACCTTGATCCTGGTTAAAAGCCAGGCTCGTGATGCCGCTGCTCCTCTGCCGCGCCATATCTTCTTAGCCGTGAATTTATCATAAACATTGAGTTGCTTTTTTATCAATTGTCTCAGTGGACATTTTCACACCAATAATTTTAATACGCACATTTATTTAGTACATGTTCCCTGTGTGTGATACACAGCTGATTTGATGTTTGATGATGACTTTACATTTGACAGCAAAACAAGACTGTGTTTACAACGGTAAAAAATATTATGAGTATTGCCATTCTACAGTCAGATATATTCTACTATAGTGCATTGTTAATTCTGCTTAAATAACCAGTGAAACATTCTGAAAATAGATCGAATACCTACAGTTTGTCTATAAACTCGTGACATTAAATGATGGCGCCACTAGTATGCATGTAGCAACCCTGTACAGATTGAAAGTCTGAACAAAATGATTTTGATACTAGGAGTTCATGCAAGTAAAATAGGTAATTTATAAGACACACTATACAGTCGTATTTTGTTTCTGTTTTATATATAGTAGGTACCTATGCTTATAAAAAGTTAAGCCAAGCATATTTAATTGAATCAGAATAAAATTATTATAGATAAAATAGTACTTTATAGTGTAAAAGTATGTAATGTTGGTGATCACCGCTGAGGTGCCATTGAGACCAGAGCCGTTAGGTAATCATCAATACACACAAGTACCATCATACGAGGGTTTTTAACACACTTGTTAAGAAATTAATACTAAAAATCATTTTATAGTTTAAAGTATATAAAAAGTTTATTTAGAGAAACAATTTGTAAATGCGTGGTTAGTAAAATTAGTGATAGGTATCTTCACTAAAAGCATCTGGCCATGGTTCTTTATGTGACCATTTCTTTCTTTGGTCGGCCTTGCCTGTTTTTCCAGGAGTTTCAAACTTTCCACCATTTTTAAAACCTTCGTTGACTATCCGACTCTCTGATTTCCCTGAAAAATATGTAACGGAATAGAAACAATAACTTATTGACATGAAGCAATGAATTCAAAATTAGTAGAAAACCTGACCGAGTTGAACCATAATAACGTATCAAAAGAAATAGTCGTACTACAATATTACCTATTTACAATGTCAATCTAACCTAAAAATGTGCAATGTAAACAATGCCTTTTTTGGTCTCAAAATCGTATATTGAGTAAATTTGTAACTTCAGGCAAATTACAAACAAATAGTTACACGATTACATACCCGTTATAGATGCTGTTCGCCCATAAACATCATCCAAATTCCACAAAATTCGTCCAGCTTGGTAGTATTCGAAACATCGCTGGAAAACTTTAAAAATCACTTCCCGCGTGTAACTCCGATTTACTTTACTCATTTTTATACCTTTCTGCGTAGTTTCGTCTTAATTTATTACAGTTTAATCCAAACAATAAAAAATACAAAAGGAAAACTGTTCCACAACTGAAACTCGATGACAGCTGATGTACATAAGTTTGGTGTTGCCAGACACATGAATAATGTTAGTTCCTCAAACATTCATGTCACGACTTTATAGACAAACTGTACATGAAGATAAAATATAAAAAAAAAACCTGAATGAACTGTGTGGCTACTGCTAAACGATGACCCGCATATTAATGATGAGTCAGTTTAATATGAGTCTTTCGGTCGCGCGTTAAATAAGTACTTAGCTTCTATTATTTCCTTGGTTTCTATTAACCGCAATGCACCTTGAACGTTGCATGTATTGAATTGTGGTCAATCTTCAATCACAAAAATCATTGTCTCAAACTCCTAAGTAGCTACAGTTTATGAGTATAAGTATAATAGTAATTTTGTTACCTTAAAATCTTGCTTGAATTTTCCTATTTAGTGAGTTAGATTTATCATTTATAACAGTGTCTTACCACAAAGGAAACTATATTTTTATTAGGTATGATGTGTAACATTTGAAACGTCTCCTTATATTAGCAAAATAAAAGAAATAAAACCTACTACAAAAGGAATAAGCCATTTGAACATTACGTTCTGAAATCAAATCAAATAGCGCGCGCTTTTTAAACTTCCTGTTGCACACTTTCGTCCCACTTCATTAATCACTCCCACAAATTGCACAAAAGCGAGAGAAAAGATTTAACACATCAAAAATACGTTTTTTTTTTCAAATACATGCCGGGTTGCTGTGTAGTTAATGAACATCAAACTTACCTGATTTAATGATCTTTGCGGTATCATTATTACGTTACCTAAGGAACGAAGTTGCCTTTACTTGCATTCTTCGACCGTAGTAATTATGTGTAGAGTTGGGTATTACTATAATAGTGTCTATATAAGTATCTAGATAATTATTAAAATAATTATTTATAATTATTAGCGAATAAAACAAATCATTCACGAATTAATTTTATTAAAAATTAATATAAACTTTAAATTAATATGAAAAAATATTTTTATAACATAAACGATAAGACAAACTGATGCACATTGTAGTTCATCAACTAATACCTAGCATTTATGTAAAAGCAGTACAAGAAAGGGTTAGTTACAATACACCATTGTTTTTATTTGCATCAGTGAAACGCAGTATTTCTTATGTCACAATAATAAACCTGATATAATAAAGCAGCACTGAAGCTTAGAAAGAGTAGTGATGAAAACGAACATAATAAAATAATCGTAATTACTGTCAAACCAGCCCGTTTAGTTTTATTTTTAGTTATTAATGGAAAAATGAATAAATGCATTTGTTCGTCATGCGAATATTTTTTCTATTAATAACTTAATTTATTTACTACTCTTGATAACCAATGGAAAATAACCATCTCTCTGCTTATTACATTTATTGAGGCCTCACAATGTACAAAAAAAATACTAATTCAAAAATTTATTTAACCTGGCAACACTGGTGTTTTTTTTTAATAAAGTGAGACTTCCTTTGGTATACTTACTTTACTCTTTGGTGAGTGAGACTAGGGATTTGATGAATCATAGGTCCATGAAAAGTGTTTTAAAACATAGTGAAACTATTTTATTTTTAAATTATTATTAATGAAGAAAAAAAAGCGAAAAAACGTCAAAAATGTTTTTATCTTCTCTTCTTACAGAAATTATTGAACAAATCAAATTTTTGGCATCAAAAGCAGTACTAAATTATGTAGGGTGTCAGTTAGCAAAAATAGTCATAATAAATTTGAAAAATATTAACTATATAAGCTGAGATAAGGTATTGCACCAAACCTGAAGCTCCGAGTTTCCGTTGGTATTTAGTTACTTAACTAACGAGCTTTCTCTTTGTTACAGTTAAACAGGTTTAGTTTTAGTAATGGATAGTTTTGCAACGTCTAATCATGCTGATTTTCAATGGCCGTTTCCAAAGCCTATTGTGGGAAAGTAAGTGTTTGCTTTATTTGTTTTTGTACCTGTATGGGCGTTCCAATATTCGATCCCCGGTGAAACGTAAGACTATAAAATAGAGAATAATTAGTTACCCGCCTACCTATTTGTAGTCGATATGCATTTTTGTAAGGCATCTAAAATGGTGATTATGAAGAAGGTAATGTTCTATTGTTTAAAAACCAATACCTATAAGATTCTATTGCACTCCTTACAATAAGTTAAAAGCAAAGTCGCCTTCAAACATCAAGTTGGGTTTCTTTTTAAAGGCATTATCTTGAGTAATGGCAATAATGGCGCAATTACATTTGGTCGGTAGCCCGACTACGATTGCCTTTGAAATTCGAACAATGGTTTGTTAGGGCTGGCCGCACTAAATAAACTTTCGAGTGCATAGACAATCATTAAAAATAAATATATATCTGCAGAAAAGTTTTACTAGAAAAAAAAACCACGCGGTCCAGGCAGCGGACGGGAACCTGCACCCTTCGCAATAAATTAATTAATAATTATTAAAAACTATAATTGCTATTTTTTCTTTCAAATGTTTAATACTTGAAAAATGCGTGGGGTATCTGAAGGCGCGCTTCCCATACATTTTCTATGTAGCTACCGGCGCATACGTTCGGTTTGCCTCGTCCGATATAAATCTAGTGGTGCTGAAAGTATCGATATTGAACGTAGTATTGTATTTTGAGACCAAATATTACTAGCAAGCGCTCATTCCGATTGCAGATTGCATATGATACATCAATTAAAAGTAGTTTCGTAATATTTGATAATTGCTCCTAACCGACTACAAATCGAGACAAGCGCCATAATAGCTGTTATTAAACATAAATAAAGCTTTGTAGCCATATAAAAATTATTGCTGTTGAAGCAGATACCAGGTTCCATTCATTTTTGCCTATTCTCCTTTAAGCTTAATAAGTGCTACTTTATAACCTTCATATACACTGCTTACATAAAAAAATGGGTGCGTGTACTTATGTAGGCGCGTGAGAAGTTATCCTTCTTTGGCGTCGTTTAAAATTAGTTTTTAATTGCACGCAAATAATTAATTACAATAAATTAATAAAAAGTCTGGAAAAGGACACAGTCAATAAAGTTCAGTTTTAATTTGAAAAAATAAATAAATAATCAAAATATTCAATTAAAATCGCTACTGAATATAATTTATTAGAACATATGTGATTTGCACTTGTATGAAACTCAAACACGTATTCCGAATATACAAACTAGAAACATGTGGATAAATATTATAAATATGAATACCTATAAAAAATAAAGATGTGGTTTTTGGTTCTACTACACCAATGGTCAAGAGATGGCGCTGTAGTCTCCTGAATCGCGCTTTGGTTCCGTTGTTCCAGATTAATAAATACTTTTGATATTATAAATATGAATACCTATAACTGTTAAAAAAAAAAAAAAAATAAAGATGTGGTTTTTGGTTCTACTACACCAATGGTCAAGAGATGGCGCTGTAGTCTCCTGAATCGCGCTTTGGTTCCGTTGTTCCAGATTAATAAATACTTTTGATAGGCCTTCACAATGCAGTCGTTAGCACCACGGAGGAAAAACAAAGAGGAGCTGGCCTAAGCAACTGTGCACTGTGATTTTCAACTAGGTCCTGACGTCATCATTGTGGGCGGGGCCTAAGTCAGTATGCTTTCAGCGTTCGTCAGGTGCACACTTAACGAGACTCGCATTATAAGTGTTTTTTTGCGTTTTTAACAAGAAAAGGATGAAGTTTTGTGTTTTACTATGTCAAAGTTACTCAGACAGACTTTCTGATAATATGGATGGCATCATATTTCATTTGTAAGTAATTTTATACGTAATTAAATATATAAGTTCTAGAACATTCTCAGCCTCAGCTATCAGCGTTAAAATTCTACTACTTGACACCAGATGGCGACACTTTTAGGAAGAAAATACACAAGTTTACGTATAATTTTGCAGTAGTATATTGTAATAATCATACGTAAATACTGAAAACTGTTATACACTTATTCCTAAATAACTTTTAGAATCTAAAACAGTAATTTTATCAATATATTACTAACTGGCCGCCATCTGTCGTCATATAGAATAACTTTATAAACGTTACAAATATCCAGTGCCGTAATACGTATTAAATTATTTTACCAAGTAAATAAATTTTAATTATTTTTATGTTCGTTTTAGATTTCCATCCAACGATAATTTAAAACAGCAATGGATTTCAAAACTTAATAGACCGGTTTGGACACCATAGAAGAAGAAGATATTTCCATTTTAAATGAATCTTCTGTGCAAAAAATTAATATTACATCAGAACGTTATCGCATTTTAAATAAAATGAGTTTCGAGTCTTCGGATAGCACGGATGTCGAGCCTATGCCTGACGATATGTTATTGGAATTTGATGAACAATTAAATACAACTATAGGTGACTATTTGCGCCGTCAAATAGTAGCATATATTTCTGGGTATGTGGTCAAATATTTACATTCCAAGATCAAATGTGAGAGCTGTCTCAAAGAATTATATGCTGATAACTACGACGATAGTGACCTTGATTTGATAAAAACTAAAAATAAGGGTGGCCTTACTTTCCCATCTAGAGATGTCATAAAAATATGTATACGGACCGAAGGCAGTATTCGTTGTGTTAAATCGCAATCTTTGAATACTCCTAATTTTCGTAAACATAAAATTGTATCGAATACATTAAAATCACTTATTGGACAAGATTGTTTCAAAAAATCGGCCAACCATATATTTGACCAATCACCTACAGTTAATCATGTTGTATTTCTGATGAAATCGATTGCAGAAAAATATATTGATATTCGTTTTAAGCATTTTGCCACAATACAAAACGATAGGGCAACCAACCGACAACAACTAACCAAAACTATTATTTACAGGTAATTGATGTTTTTTAATAAAATTATGTTTGTAATAAAATTTTGTCTATTATTTTTAAACTACCTTAAAATTTAAATCTAAAAAAAATATAACTAGAAAAATATCCACGCGGACCAGGCAGCAGACGGGAGCGGGTGCAGGTTCGAGTCCCGTCTGCCTGGATTTTTTTTCATCAAGCAGTAACATGTTTTAAAATAATAAAAATTATACCTTAAAAATTTTAAAATCGGTCAAATTTGTTAACGTTTATTTTATTTATTTACCTACATATTTCATTTTTTTGAAGCTTCAAGTTCTGAGTACGTCCCATTATATACAAAACTTTTGAACATCTAGTGTTAGATAGCTGAACTACTACGTAGTAACATAAATATCAACCTAAGCTAGTTTTGCTATTAGCCGATAGATGAAATATTGAGAAGTGGGCGGAGCTGAACACCCCGCATCCCGCAAATTATCACGCGTCGTTTCTTGAGAAAATTTAATCACCACACCTCCTCTTTGTTTTTCCTCCATGGTTAGCACCCACTAAATAGAGATTCTATTTCTATTTTGTTGGTAGATTTTCTTAATGTGCGGTAAACACAAAAGTAACGCATGAAGTTGGTCGCTTAAGCGACCAACTTCATGCTGTTAAAATTTTGTGTTACAGTGATGCGCGCGCATCTTAAAATTTCACTCTCATCATTTTTTCATAACGCGCCTAAAAAAGTATAACTTCAAAAATTTTTACAAAAGATGACAAAAATCGATGTTTTCTTTACACTTGCTCATCTCTATTTAGCTGTTCAGACACACATCAGGTTTTCGCACGGGTTTCCGCATGCGATATTCGATCAGGGAACCAGATGCACCTGAAGGTAGGAGGGTTGCCAGACTTTATAGAATTACCCCAGATTGATATTTTTTTTTTTAATTGAAGGTAAAAGTTACTAATCTTTATGCATTCTTTACTTAAGTCTAAAGTACCTTTAAAGTGAAATTAATATTAGGAGTCGGTGTAATGCATGTTTGATAGATCTGAGATTCCATTTATTATTAGAGTTGGCATGACACCAACACCAAATATTAATTTGACTACTACTATAGATATGCAGCTTAAGAAGGGCTAAAAAGAATTCGACACGGCCATCAGGGCCGCGGTAGCATAATGGTCTGTGCATACGCCCGGATAGCGAAGGGTGCGGGTTCGAATCTCATCTGCTGCCTCGTCAGCGTGGAATTGTTTTTAGAAATATTTTCTTTAGATTTTAACATCGAGCAGTTACATGCTTAAAATATAAAATTTGTTACTACTAGATAGATACATTCCAGACGAATTTATATTTGGACTTAAGTAAAGTAAGCGTAGACTTAAATAAAGAAAATGTATTATTACTTCCTAATTTTTTGTGGTTTTGATATTTGTTAAAAAAAGATTTTTTCGTCGTTCAAATTATGGAGAAACTTAGATAAAAGCTGACAAATTACATATGTACTTATAAAAGATATTAAAAAAACAGAAAACCCTTTAGGGCCCAAGCATTTGACGACCTCCGTGGCCGAGTGGTTTGTACGCCGGGTTTCATGGGGTCGCCGACTCGAGAGGTCCCGGGTTCAAATCCCGGTGGGAGCTGATGTTTGTGTGATGAACACGAGCATTTGTACTCCAGTCATGGATGTTTAATATGTATTTGTATATAAATATACTTATATATGTACTGTACATGTACCTATTCTATCCGTTACCCTAGCATCCCATAACACGAGCCTTACAGTGCTTACTTTGGGCTAGGCTTATTGGTGTGACTGTGAGTGTTGCAAATATTTATTTATTATTTATTTTTAACTGTAATATATTATTATCTTGCATACAACTTTGTTTTGCTCAAAAACGACATTTTAGCAAATCAAAAAACAAATTAAATGGGCCACTAATGAAAATATTTCCCCACATTGATGTTTATTGTAATTCAGAAAATGATCGGTGCATAATGCATTAATTAAATATAAATAAAATATTTTTATAACATTTCCCCAAGTATTAAATTTTCCCTGTCACACCACAAAAATGCCTTAACTGAGAACATTGGCCAAATTGTAACTGATGAGCCGCACATACGATTTTGTTTGGAGCGCCAAAAATGACATTGTTCGGATAAAAAAATTGGGCGGTGCATCCCGCACGGTCAAAATGGCGACTAGCACACTAAATTTACAACGAGGCAAAGAAGCTTCTAAAACTTTTTATTAACTTCATTTATCAGCATCTTTTTATCCAACTGCTGGGGCTCAAGCATTCCTCATGGATGAAATAGGAAAAACTGACAGTGCGGACTGGTGGGTGCAAAAACTGCAGATACAGCCGGGACCAACCGCTTAACAGCCTTCCAATGTACGAAAGGAGAATGAGGAAGAGAAATAGAAAAAAGGTACTTCCTTTAAAGGTCGGCATGTCATTTGTGATACTCCAGGTGTTGCAGGTGTCTATGGGCGCTGGTGATCACTCACCATCAGGTGCGCCGTCAGCTCGTATGCCCCCCTATAATATAAAAAAAAAGATTTTTTTTCGATCAGCCATCTTAAGACACACCAAACCTCTCAGATAGGCAGACCTTAGATCCCTTTCAGAGATGTGTGCTACTAACATAATCTCGCTGACCCTAACTCTCTCATAGGTCTCAATATAGAGGTCATAATATAAAACACCCTGAAGTTTGTATTCCCTTTGTCCCCTTAAAATCTATCCTGTAAAGTTTGTATTCCTTTTGTCCCCACATAGACCATGTGAGCCGCCCGGTCCCAACGCGGCGCCTACCGTGCGCCCACCCCCAGTGGCCCCGTACTGTCACTGCGACGCGCACTCCTATTCGCCCCGCGTCGAGCAATACAAGCAGTTGTTGGAGAAGGAGCAGAAACTATGCCAAGACTATGAGCACTTGAGGAAACAGGTTCATTATATCAGTTTTTAAAATGGGGACTATATTTAAGGGATATGATATATTTCTGTGGTGGATGCCTTATAGGTATCGTGTATAGCATGTGCATCAATGGTTCGGGGATCCGAAGTCAGTTGTTATGAAGATCACTCCATCTACCCTACTACAGGGAAGAAACAGTCTCCGTGTTTTTGCTTTTATAAAAATATTTAAAGTGTATTAATTGTGTTTAAAACACAATAATTTCGTTTAAGTACAAAGTATTTCGATAGTACAGTTGTAATCTACGACGTTCATACGTTCTAATAGTGTGAATTCCATAAAATTATGAGTGAACAAAATAAACAAAATAGTTAGTGTCAACCAATTCAAATATAATCAATTAAGCAAACGTAATCATTGTTATACTCAGTGAATAAGAATTTTAGTTGCAAAACGCCATAAAAAAATGAAAACAAACAAATCGAACAGCTGTAAATTTCATTCGATCAAAGTGAGTGGAAGGACGTGAAGTTGAAGTGATTAGACTCTTATTGCTGAGCACATAAGATCAGTTTTTGCACTATCTTAGAAAGTAAATGGATACTGATTCTTAATTTTGTCGAATCTCCCGAGTACTCGTTGGTGCAACGCATAAGGATTCACTATATGCTCACTGATCCTCGGTTCAAATCTCACCCAAAGAAATATTTTTTAAGGTTATATTACTTTATTTGAGAACAAATTTAAATAAAATTACAATCACACTACTATGGATAAAGTAAAATGTACAAAATGCCGAAATGAGTTTGTGTTGAGAGATGGTATAAAGTGCCAAAGTTGTAAAAACAATTATGATCTTGATTGTGCAGTGGTATCTGAGAAACTTTTCTTACTTATGTCTAAGGAAAGTAAACAAAAATGGAAGTGTTCATCCTGCATGGTAAAAACAAGAAAAAATGCTCGGAATAATATTAATAAGAACACTAGTAAATAAAGCAAATCAAGCTCCAGTGATAATAAAAATAATACACCAAACCCGTATATCACAATCAGAGATCGACAGAAGGTTTGCATTAGTCCCGATACAGCTGATATATTGCAGACGACAAATAGGTCAAATAATGAAAACTCGTTTTTATCCACAACCTCAACACCAAGAAGAAGTCTGCCGGATCTCTCTACCCGAGATGCCGATGATATGGAGGAACTGCGAAACTTAAATTCTGAATTGTCCATGAAACTTGAAATATCTAACAAAGAAATAGAAATATTACTAGAGAAAAATAATATTTTAGAGAAAAAATTGGCGGAAAAAAATTCTATTATAAATAAGTTAAAACAAATCTGCATCAAACAACATAACGGAGACGAATCACACCACAACAAGGGATCTGATAATTTACAGGAGATAAATGAGAAAACTTTAAAACACTGTTATGAGGATTATTCGGATAATTATAAACAATTAAATGGAAAAACAGATGTATATAACGAAAAAAAGTATGAAAATAATAATCTCTCTCTTCCCAATCCTAGAGAAAAATGCATACGAATATATGGATCACAGCAGATCGCCGGACTGGCTGCAGTGCTATCAAACTCAAGACAAAATACAAAATACGAAAAATATTCAATATTTTCTACTACTAAGCCAAATGCGGAAACTGATGAAATATTACAGATCAACAATATATCTTCTTCTGACATTTTTGTACTTTGTGTTGGTGAAAATGATAAAAATAGACTAAAATTCACCTCACAATTATATTGTACTTTAGATAAATTAAAAAATCATACAGTTTTTTTATTGAATATAACTAAAAATTTGTATTTAAATGAACAATGCATTAATAATGAAATTGAATTTATGTGCAAGTTTTTTCCCAAATCCTATTACTTGAAATATTATCAATCTTGTAATTTAAGTAATTTGAAATTCTATTGCAAAAATATTAATTATGTACTAGACTGTAAATACTATGAAAACTACTTTTTGAATTTTAAAACCCTGGCTAAGCGTTTACTCCTCAATGAGACAAAAAAAAAATAAGATCTGTGATATGAGGGGCACTATACCATTTTACTTTCCACGGCTTACGACAGAGGTATCTTGTAACTCTGCTACAGCGAAGAAGGTCTTAAAAAGAACTATCACTGATTATTATCAAATCATAGGAAATAAAAGCACCGCTGCTCCTATTCTTGAACCTGCTAACAATAAACTTTTTTGAGACTAACGTTACAAACAAGCTTATAGTATTTCATCAAAACATAGCAGGCCTTCTAAGTAAAACTGAACAACTTGAGATGGCGTTGAAAGACGTTTCAGAGCTGTGCGGTGATGTAGATATTTTGTGTTTATCGGAAACTTTTGTCAAAGCTGGATGCGAGTCAAATATTGTTCTTGATGGCTTTAAATTAGCGGCATGGTACTCTAGGAGGAATCAGAGACGTGGTGGCACTTGTGTTCTGTGTAGGAACTATGTTGAATACAATAAACTCTCTGTTTTGGATGATCTGAAGTGCGATTTTGATTTTGAGGCAAGTGGTATAGATATTCCAAAATATAAATGTATAATAATATGTATATATAGAGTTCCAAAATTGAATCCTTATAAATTTCTTTACAAATTGGAACAGTTAATGCAATTTCTACGTAAAAAAAGGAATAGGAAATTTATAATCACAGGAGATTTTAATATAAACTTATTACAGGATTCAGAGGCCTTGAACGAATATAAAAGAATAATTGAAAATTTGAATTTCACAATTCACATAAATGAACCCACTAGATTAAACGCATGCTTAGATCAAGTTATCAGCAATTTTAAAGACGCTATAGGAAAAAATCTGACTTTAGCACTATCGGATCACGAAAAAGCTCAATTACTTGTCATTCCACTTCTAGAAAAATATGTGCCACACAAAAAAATATTTCATAAGAAACGGGCTTTTACTAAAGAAAATGTAAAAAAATATGAATGTTGTCTAAAGCAATTGCCCTGGCATAACATTCACCAGATAACTGATACAAACGAAGCATTTAATCAATTTCATGAATATTTAGTTTTACTCTTTGATTTATGTTTCCCATATTATTTGAAAAAACAAAACATTAACACAAACAAAAAGCTTGCATGGTTAACTAAGGGTATAAGAATTGCAAGCAAGACTAAACGTAAATTAAGGTTCAGATTTTATAAATCAAAAAGGGATATTGACAAACTTGAATATAAAAAATACAAAAAACTTTTTAAGAACTGTATTGAAACTGCTAAGAGAATTTCTAACATAGCATTTATTAATAGTGCAGATAACATATGTAGAGCTTCGTGGAAAGTTATTAAAGACAACATTGTTTCGACTAATAATTCATTCCAACAAATAAGCCATATAACATTTGATGGTATTATCTATAAAAGCCCAAAGGACATATGCGAAATTCTAAATAAATATTTTATAAATTCATGTAACATTGACTTGACTAACATAAGATATGATAATTATATAAAACAAAATGACTCTAGTATGTATTTATTTCCAACTGATCCGGACGAAATTATAAAAATAATAAACAACCTTAAAAATACTAATTCAGTTGGTTTTGATAGTTTGTCTACTAAAGTAATCAAACAATGTAGACAAATAATAGCACCAACTCTTGCACACATCATAAACGTATCTTTTAAACAAGGTATCTTTCCTGAAAATTTAAAAAATCACAAACATTAAGCCTATATACAAAAAAGGAGATAAGGATAATCCAGCGAATTACCGGCCCATAGCCTTAATATCGGTTCTGTCAAAGGTTTTTGAGAAATGCATGCATACAAGAATAATGAAATTTATAGGAAAATTTAATATAATTGACGCCAATCAATACGGCTTCCAAAAAGGAAAATCTACTACTTTAGCAACGTACAAGCTGGTAAATGAAGTTGTGAAGAATGTCGATAAGAAGGTTGAGACAGTTGCCATCCTTTTTGACTTAAAGAGGGCATTTGATTTAGTTTCGCACGAAATACTTTTAAGGAAATGTGAAGCATATGGTATACGTGGTGTTTGCCTTGATTGGATCAGAAGTTATTTGGAAAATAGAGCACAATATGTCACATCTCAGTATTTAAATTCTGATTCATTCGTAGAATCAGCTTGTTCTAATTTGGCATATAAAAACACAGGCGTCCCACAGGGGAGTATCCTGGGTCCTCTTTTCTTTTTACTCTTTTCGAATGATCTTACAAAAGTTACTGATTTCCCATGTATAACGTATGCAGATGACATATGTGTAATAATAAGTAATAAATCACATGACTCATTTAATAATGTAATAAATAATACAGTCTATGACATAATGAATTGGATAAATCAAAATAATTTAATAGTAAATAAGGACAAAACAAAATATATTCAGTTTATAAACAAAGGGGGTACTAAATGCAAGCTATCAATTTTATGTAATGACAAGATACTAAAAAAGGTTGACTGTGCTACTTTTTTGGGCATTGAAATTGACGATAAATGTTCTTGGAAACCCCACATCGATAACTTATGCAGTAAGCTAAATAAATTTTCATATGTACTATGGCGACTGTCGAAAGTTACTAATAGACAAACTGCTTTAAAGGCTTATTATGGGTATGTGGCTTCTAATATTAGGTACGGTATTTTAGTATGGGGCAATTCAGTCAAAGTACAAAGAGTTTTTATAGCACAAAAACAGTGTGTTAGAGCCATTATTGATGCTAGTCCCTGGTCCTCCTGTAAACCTATATTTATGGAACTTGGAATATTAACTGTGGCGTGTTTATATATTTTTGATATTTGCGTATTTGTGAAAACTAATATGAATCTCTTTACAACTAAAAAGACTGTATGTAATTTCATGACAAGATTTCCTAATAAGTTGGAATTACCTATTGCGAGAACTAATATTTACAAAAACAGTACGTATGTTATGTCTGTGAAAATATTTAATAACATACCAGAGGACATAAAAATGTTTCCACTAAGATTATTTAAGTCTCGGTTACGAAAATGGCTACAGGACAAATGCTTTTATTCAGTGGGAGAATTTTTAGCAAAAAAGCATATTTAATTTGTAATTATCTTTGGTACTTTACGCGATTTTCAATTTTATAAACATTGACAATTAAGTATAAGAAATGAACATTTGGATTTGATATGAATATGTAATATATTGTTTGAATGATTTTTTTTTTAATTAATAATATGATGTAGATTTATCAAGGACATAATTTTGAATTTTTTGAGGTTATTTGGATTGTTTTATTTTATATGTTTTCTGTATTGCATGCTGTGTGACAGTAAAATATGTGATACTTTATTTATACTGAATGTGTAAAATAACATCAAACACATATGTAACATCTTATGTACACCATATTTAATGCAAATAAAGACTTCTACTTCTAAGACTTCTACTTCTACATCCTTAAAGGGTAAGGTACAGTTAATCTTAGGTTTAAAGAATTATGCCAAAATTACTGCAATATCTTCGAAGCGGGCAGGACCGGATCCTCAACTGCGGGTCGGGCGTTAAACTATTATCACTAATATACTTAGTAATTATTACAACTTACTGGTGTCGGGTGACAAGTGCCTAAGTACCTATTGTCTGGTTTTTAACGGGTAGGTCCTAACTCTTTTTGCCAAGTTAAGCTGGACGATATGAGCGGGGAGAAGACCTCAAACCCTCGTCAAGCTACTCTTGGTGAAAGGGGAGTCTCCATGCCTATGCAGACATGAAAATAAGGTAGTTACTATGTTGAAACATGCGACACAAAGAACCTTTTTATGATCAACAGCATAATTTATACTTCCGTCTCAAAAACTACGATAGGTTTTTACCAGAAATGTCACTGCTATTGTTGTTCTAAATTTTCCATTGAAATACCTGGATAGTACCTAAATGTTTGCTGTGTCCGCGTCACAATGGCGGCGTGATAATTTGAGCCGAATTAGCAGTTTTGTTGGAATGTAATCACGTGCTTCCTTTAGTCGTTACGTGGGTACGTTAATATTGATACTGAATTTCTGGAAATGATACTTAGAACCTGTATACAGTTGGAACGCGGTGATGAGGAGCCCGATAGCGTAGGTGGTTAGCGCGTTCGGCTGCGATCGTTGAAGTTAAGCAACTTTCGCAGTGGTCGGTCAATGGATGGGTAACCAAAATATTTTTTTTTTCAAGTTCCTCCGTGCTTCGGAAGGCAAGTTAAGCAGTCGTTATCACCTGCCAATCAGACTGAGCCCGCGTGGTGGGTCATGCCCCAATCTCCCAATTCCATCCATAGGGAAGGCCTGTGCCCCAGCAGTGGGGACATTAATAGGCTGATGATGATACCCCACCGCCTTGGGACTGCGGCAAGGTTATGTGAGACTCCTCCCCTCTCCTCTCGCTCGAGAGGAGGGGGGCCTACCCATTAAGTTTGTGAATTTAAGGGAACCCTCTTGTTTCAGATGGTGGATGTATCCAATGACATTCTGGACCACCCGTGCGATGACCTGGACAGCAAGATGATTACCATGTACCAAGCCACTTACAAGAAGAGATGTAAGAATTAATATTATGAAAAAATTAATATTTCTAGTACTCACAACAATTAATCTGGCCGCAGAGCCGGCTTAAATTCGGCCCTGCCTGGCCGTAAAGTAAGCTGCAGTATGGCATGTGTTACGGGATGTTGGGGTAAAGGATAGAAAAAAAATGATAGCAAAACATGTACAGTGCATTATTTTTCTACACCTTAATAATAAAGAGCCTCAGATTACAGAGTAATCAGATTACTCTTACATTACATTAGATTACAGAGTAATCTGAGGTAATAGTCATGAGTTAGGTTTTTTTTAAATCTTCGGTTATGAATTGAGGTTCGATTGATATTTAATTGCAGTAAATTAGTTATTCTTTTAACGCAAGGTGGCCTAAATTTCCACCTGAGGCCGCCTTTGATACAGCCAGAGGTAGAAACGTGAGCCGGGGGATAGAGCAAGAAAGATTTAAGAAAAAGAAGGGAAAGAAGGCTTATCGAGTTTAGAAAAAGTGTAAGAAACGGAAAGTTGTAATTTTTATATTGCATGGGATGGTGATAAGCAGGCGGGGCCCGGCCCGACCAGTTAATGAGAGGAGGATCCTCTCATCAACCGGCCGAGCCGGGGCCTGCCCCATAATCATACCATGAGTTAGGTTAGGTTAGGTGCAGGCACGTATTCATCATACAATCATTTACATCACCGGGATTCATACTTAGGATCTCTGAGAAGGCGACACTTAAACCGGCGAACATACCCCGCTCACCACGGACGGAGAATGACATTTGATGATTTCGAGTTATTTTTTGTTCTGTAATCTGTGGTTGAAACTGTATCCATCAAAGTGGTCTCGTTACTCCGCTTGTTGTTAGTTGTGATACAAGCATTTGGATTACCACTAGGTGTCGAGAGAACATTAATTACCTATATAATTGTAGCATGGTTAATGATCTTTTCGAAGAAAGGCTGCGTCTCTGTAATGCGTATCTTGTATACTATGAGACGACTTCTTAGCATTGAGTGAATTAATAATTTTAGTATCTTCCCAACCTTACTTAAACTATCTTGATACATAGGTTCTATCGCACACTAAAATATTGACATTACACAGGATCAAACAAATATATTTTTCGCTTTCTAAAGCACATTAAGGCATTGTTCTCTGCATTTGGTAGCACTCAGATGTAGGTATATAATAATAATAATATAATAATAATAATAAATATATCTTTATTCAAATAAGGTCATACATTGCATAATAATACTAATAACAATATAAAGTACAAAATAATGGATGCCTGAACTAGGTTACAGTTAAAATTGTACCTGTATTTCAGGCTTTTATGATCTAAATAATACATTGAATGATTAATAAATTAACAAATTAATTAAAACAGAACTTAAAGTAATTATTATATAAATGTTGGTAAATGTAAATTATGGAGTTACGTTCATTTATTTACAAATCAGAAGTAATTCTTCGGTCTGCTCGTATGTCAGGCTGTGCAAATAATTAAATACTACAGTTCTACAGTTAAAATAGTTTAATGTATAAATACCTAATACTCTATTTAACTTATTATATAAGACAGGACTTAGGAAAGTAGAGAATCTATGTGAAAAGATGTATTTTGAATCATGTGTAGAGATGCAGACTATATCTTTCCGTCTTTTGTTAGTGATATCAGAGCAAAAAGGTGAAATGGTGTGTTGTTTTAATATGGTGTGCATAATGAAAAGCTGGCGAACAGTTAACACATTACAGTATTTGTAAAGTTGATGCGTAGGATATAAGAAGGGAAGTGAATTGGCTACTTTTAAAATGGCTCTCTGAGCTCGCTCGAGAGGGATTAAAATAGTTTTGAGAGCTCCACCCCATGCAGTTATACAATATTGAATTACTGATTGGCATAAGGCCTGATATACCTGTTTAATTAGTTTTGGACCTGCAATGGTACGTAATTTTTTAAAAATATACATTAATTTACGGATCCTGACTACTAGATTTGCAATAAGCTGTCTAAAAGATAATGTGTCGTTAATTAAGATACCAAGATATTTTATATGGGATGTGTTCTGTATTAAAGGGCAATCGCATTTATTGACTGAAGCATATTGGCATTGGTGTGCGTATAAGTTAGGATTTGTAAACCCATGACAAGGCTGGCGCATAGAAAAGTGAATATAATTGGTTTTGTCAGTATTCAGTGTTAGTAAATTGCAGCGAAGCCAGTTATTTACACCAGTATACCGGTATGTATATGACGGTGATAGAATCAGGTATTTATTTAATAACACTTGTTATTTACTTGCAGCCTTCCCCGTGTCCGATTACAGAACCATTATAGCGGCGTCGCAATCCAACGCTCCCATCCCAATGGAAAGTAACAAACTGGGAATCCTTAGATGCTACAAAGACCCCACTCACTTCACCGAGAACCCACCTACTTCCAGACCGACTATCCATCCACCAAGACCTGTGAACACTGGCGTAAGTCCGAAGTCTGTACAGTCTTGGTTCGTCGAGTTTCCCGGTAGAACGGAGTATATGGACACGTACAGTTCCTCAGCGAAAGCTTGCTGGAGGTCCATGCAGAGGTACAAGGAACCAATGCCATCGACTCGACGCAGGGCTGATGACACTTGTGTGTGAATGTTTGCGTCGCTGCTTGTCTGTCACATTTGAAATAAAAACTATGGGAAGATATTTCTTGGTGTTATTTCTAGTTCAACAGTAAAATCTGGAGTCATTCGTGTGTAGGTAACTAAATGTATATACATATATGTCAAAATTTGCTTCTGTCCATCTGTATGTTATTTGAATTCTTTATGAGCTGGACCAATTTCAATGAAAAAAATATGCGTCCATATTCAGTTTCTTTCGATCGTTTAGGGTCACAACTGAGAGCAACAAACTCGGCATCCTGGGATGCTACAAGGACCCCACTCACTTCACCGAGAACCCTTCTACTACCAGATCGTTAATCCAACCACCCAGACCCGTAAACACCTGCGTTAGTCCCAAGTCTATGCAGTCTTGGTTCGTTGAGTTTTTGGGGTGGACAGGACGGAGTATATGTGTCCATATACTCTGGGATCATTTGGGATAAAAACAATGGAAAGATAATGCTTTGTATTACTTTTAGTTAGTTCTATAGCTAGATTGAGCTATGATCTTCGTTAAGTGGTAGAAAGTGGATAAGTGAAGCCGAGGATCTTGCTCAGTGGCATATGCTTGTAGAGCTGGCCAGCAGTGGAATATATGAGCTGTTTAACTGTTGTTGTGACCATGATGCCATGAGTCGATCGTTCAATTCACATGTAATAGCGATAAACGCTTGACGCTACATATTACCCTTATTTGTAGTATATATAGAATAAAGGATGCTTGTGTTAGAAGTATTATTTACGATCATTATTTACTGCGCAATGCAGTAGTGGTAATACAACGGAATTATATTTATCAAACCGCTCACAAAGGGTCCTTCAAATGCTAAAGATAAAAGCTTCAGTAAAATATTGTGTTGGTAATAATAAACGGTTCTTTAATTATGTTTTAAATAAAGAACCGTATTATAACTGTAACCGTATAATATTCAATTAGCAAAGGACATTGCTCGTTCCCCATACATTGAATGCCCTAGAACGCCCAGCAATGAGAAAATGCTAGTTATGTTCGGAATCATTCATAAACTCTATATAGGCATTTGTTGAGATACGGACAACTTGAAGACCCTGGCCTACTACAGAATGTAGTTGATTTTGAGGTTATAATTATTATACTTAATCGTAAAAGATGTACACTTTATATATTCTGAATAGATTTAGTGTTTACCTCTATGCAAGCACTTAAATAATATACATTAAATGAACATAAAATGCAATTATTAATAAAAATATTAAATGCTTATATTCATATTGATTAATGAGTGTTGTCAGTTGGCACCTACGATACCTATACCTTACCTGTAGTAATAATAGATTTCTTTTCAACTGAAATGTTCAGTCTTTCCATTTACCTGTTTCTATATTTTACTATCGGTAATTAGGTATGTACCTGGTTATCATTATGATTTTCATAAAAATAAACAGATATTATATGGGATGGGAGTATAAACTATCTTTACATAATTTCAGAAATAATCTTTTTATAAATATAATACTAGTAATAAGTATTATTAACTAAGGTATCTCTATTTTTCTTTTGATAAATACCTATGGTCGCCTCTAATGCATTTATTAAGGTAAACAATCTTGGCACAACTTTTTAACAGAATCACCCATTTAATAATAAAATATTAACGAAGCCAATAAACTATTAAAATAAATCGTTATTATAGACTGAAACCTTTTGAATCCAGTTATCAGTTGATTTTTAATTCTGTTTTTTCAATAAAAAGGAGTGCCAAGTTGGATGAATAGACTGTAGTATCTAGTAACAGAACTTTATTTTTTTATTTTTTTAAACAGATTGTCCGTTTACTATGATTAATTGCTAATATGTTAAAAAAATAATAGAAAGATAATAGTGAAGGACATTCTTTTGGGCATGCTAGGGCCGATTTCGTCGATGTCCTTTAGTATTTGAGTAGCAAAAATGCAGACTTTCACATTAATTATATTAAGTAGGATTAAGAAGTTAGGATAGGTACATAATGGTGTCGATTCTAGCATGATTCTCTAAACCTAAACTTAAATTTGACAACAGTGTATCCTTGTCAATCTCTAAACAGAATAAAAAGGACAGACTGATGTTAAAATTAGTTTCAATTTTAGAGAATCCTACCAGAATCGACACCATTGCCATGATTTAGGTGTTAATTAAAAATTAAACCAGGCAGGTAGTTCAATTTACAATTTTATAATTACTATTAATTTCCAAACATTCGTAGTTGCTAAAAGAAATATGGGCTTAATTGTCCTCTATTCGTCTTCATTATATAGTCGATTAAATCACCCTTTTCTTTTGTAGATAGAATCAACCTTTCATCTGTGAGCAATTCTGTCGGGATAATTTCCTCATATTTAATAGTTCTCTCCTCTATTAAATGTGCTGGTATATTATCGCTCGTTCCTGCCGTGACTATAACGTTTGACGATACAAAACCGAGAACACAAAGCAGTAACAAAATCTGGAATTAAACAATATATTGTGGTAAGAGGAAGAGCTCGATGGCGCAAGTGGTTAGCGCGTTCGGCTGCGGTCGTTGAAGTTGAGCATCTTTCGCAGTGGTCGGTCATTGGATGGGTGACCAAAAATTTACTATCTCGAGCTCCGCCATGCTTCGGAAGGCACGTTAAGACGTTGGTCCCGGCTGCATCTGCAGTCGTTAGCACCCACCAACCCGCACTGGGCCCGCGTGGTGGGTCATGGCTCAATCTCCCTAATCCATCCATAGGGAAGGCCTGTGCCCCAGCAGTGGGGACATTAATAGGCTGATGATGATGATGATGATTGTGTGGTAAAATTTGTCGATAAATCGTACGAAAATTTTTGGGTCCTTTTATGACAAAACACAGGCAATGAAGGTAAATGCTAATAAATAAAAAAAATAATTAGTGTGCACAAATGCGTCTTTTTTAAGAGACCTAGGGCAGATTTGCCGCTCGGATTGGAACTTTCCCGTCGGAATTAACTTTCGCTTCCCAGATGACGACAGTAAAATAACTACTTTCTGGTGGTGTTGTTTTTTTTGTTGAGTTAGGTGCCAAGACTCCACGGTGTAGGGGATAGGCTAATGCCAGCAAGGTGAGGCCGGCTAGAGTGGCACATTTCTCTGCCGCAACTATTTATCTTTGCGACTGCAAGACTACCTTTAACATCAGGTGAGGTGAGGTGAGGAACTCGATGGCACAAGTGGTAAGCGCGTTCGGCTGCGATTGTTGAAGTTAAGCAACTTTCGCAGTGGTCGGTCATTGGATGGGTGACCAAAAATTTACTATCTCGATGCTTCGGAAGGCACGTTAAGCCGTTGGTTCTGACTGCATCTACAGTGGTTGGCACCCGCCAATCCGCACTGGGCCCGCGTGGTAGGTCATGGCCCAGTTCCAGCCATAGGGAAGGCCTGTGCCTCAGCAGTGGGGACATTAATAGGCTGATGATGATGATGATGAGGTGAGGTGATTTTTTTTTAAATATTTAACACCAATTATCCTATCTCCAAAGTAAGCACTGTAAGGCTTGTGTTATGGGATGCTAGGGTAACGGATAGAATACATATACAGTACATTTATAAGTATATTTATATAGAAATACATATTAAACATCCATGACTGTAGTACAAATGCTCGTATTCATCACACAAACATCTGCCCCCACCGGGATTCGAACCCGGGACCTCTCGAGTCGGCGACACCATGAAACCCGGCGTACAAACCACTCGGCCACGAAGGTCGTCAAATTAACCGTTTCATTCATAAAAAGTAAAATAACGTAAAACGATATTAATCAATTCATGAATGTTATTAAAGAAAAAAATTAACAATCTCACAGACAGGTAAAATTTAACTTGCTAATAAGCATGTTTACACTTACGAAATTGTACTTTGACTAATTCCGGTTCTATGTAACGTAACCATTAACAATATTACAAAATAATAAACAATTACTCTTACCTGGGAATTCATGTCGTCAAATTGTCCAAATACTTCGCAGTATCTACTTCTAAATTACAATCGTTTCAATGTTTCTATGAGCCTGTTTCTAAATATGTATGAAATTTCGTTGAGTAACTTTTTACAAGTCAGGTAACTTCAAAAACTAGTTTTGTTATGAGCTACATGCTGTTCGTGTTGTTCTTTATAATGGTAAAAATTAACGTCAAGTTATTTGGAAATATTGCGCTCCATTCAAAGGCGCTTATTAATTTACTTAATTGATATTCATCAATGACTAATCATCTTAATTTGAGTTATGAACTTAGCAAATTATTTCCTAGCTATAAAAAAATGTTGTGATACCTATGTGTGAGTCATCTAGTTCCATATAATTCATCTGTAGATGTTGCAGATTCTTGGTAAAAAGATTTTGTTGATATCTAATATATGAAATTCTCGTGTCGCGGTGTTTGTGGTTAAACTCCTCCGAAACGGCTCGACCGATTTTCGTGAAATTTTATATGCATATTTAGTAGGTCTGAGAATCGGATGTAATCTATTTTTCATCCCCCTGAATGTTAAGGGTAATCCACGCCTAAATTTTTTTTTTCAATTTTAGATATTTTTTTTTAATTTTTTATGATACATCATACAAAAATACATACAACCCTAAATTTTCACCCTTCTACCATCAACCCCTATTTTTTATGGCGGTACGAAGTTCGCTGGGACAGCTAGTATGTATATATATTTTGTTGGCTTCGGCCCCATGAACGCCTCAAAGGACCGGTTTCCCATGGACCCGTGGTTGAAAAGCTGAAAAGCGTACCGTCATAATAATGTTTTATTAGTAACAATCAAACCTTAAAAACTATGTTAGTACATTTTAAAAACAAAGTTATTTCATATATATACTTTCTGAGGCACCGGTCACATGAACGTGTATATGTACCCAGTGCCTCAGAATGTCACACTCCGGTTTTTTCCCGATAAAATCGTTACTGTTGGCGCTCCCACGAACCACGTAATTCAATGACGGTAAAATTTTAGCTACTTACCTTAGTAGGCTATTTTTTGTGATTTCTCGCACATCAACCATTATCATTA